TGTTGGCCGAAGGCCTTCTTGCTGCGTCAGAATGTGGCAGAAGGTGGCACAGGGTGATAGGGCACATGTGAGAGGGAATATCAGGAACCTACTCCTGTGACAGTGGCATAAAACAGTCACAAGGACTCCTCTGCCCCTCGATCTGATCCCTTTAACATCCCACTTCTTGGCACTGGCCCTAGGGGTCAACTAACCAACACAAGAACTCCAGGTCAACTAACTAACACAACCCTCCGACCCTCCTGCTGTGGGGTTGTCTGCTGACAGGCGCCTAGGGTCCTGCAGTGAATGTGAGAATGGTTTTGGAAGCAGACACCCTGGAATTGGGCTCTGCCTGGGCCCAGAATGGAGAGGATATGGGTGTTAGTCCTGGTTTCAGGACAGAGAGCAGTGCAGAGGAGGCCTGGACTCTAGGGGGAGGCTGATGTGGGAGAAGAGGGCAGCGCCTTGGGACTCTTGGCTGGTTGTAGTTTTGGATTCCTCTGGGGAAAATCTCCCCGTGGGAACTGGGGCAAGGTCCTCCTCTAGGATTATCCTGGGTATTGAGCAGCATCCCTGGCCTCCACTCACTCCATGCCAGGGGCACCCCTGGTGTGCCAGCCACACATGTCCACAGACAATGCCCAGGCTCTGGCTCTGGCATGGAGTGGCAGACTTGTCCAAAGTGAGAGCCACAGTTTGGGAACATCTTCGCTCTTTTTTCAGACACTTCCCACATCATGAGCCATCTCTGCACAGGGTTGTGCTGACCTCTGTGATGCCCGCATCTGTCAGTGTGTGTGCTCTGCCAAAGAGCACAGTCTTTGGTCTTTGTGGCCCAGTTCCAGTGTGTTCCTGTGTTGGCCCCTTGTGGTTTGAGGACTTGTTTCCTGGTTCTGAGTCCTGTAAAATTTGCCATAAAGTTGGATCATACTCCTTACCTTTCTTTGGTTTTGATGATTTAAAGTAGGCCATAGTGCTAGTCTGCTGTTCCCCACAAAGGGAGCACCCCAGTGCTGCCCACCACTTTCTGGGGGCATTGTGGTTTTGATGGTAACTCTTCCTCTTGCCATTAAGACTGAGGCTCAGAGGGTCAGGAGACTTGCCCAGGTCATCCAGGGAATAGATCAGCCAGACTGGGGAGTCCCAGGGCCTTTGCTGTCCCAGCACAGAGAATGTCAGGCCTGCTGTACTCCTTCCAGACTGCAGCTTTGGGGATTTCTGTGAAACCTTTTTGCCCACCCAAGCTCAATCCTGTGATACCACTGTTCCTTTCAAAGATGACACAGTGGTGGTGCGCCTCTTTCATCAGTGTCAGTCACCCTGAGAGTTGTGCGCAGTGCTTTCAGGCAGGAGGTACCTTACTGACAAATGTTTAGGGACTGAGATTTGACCAGAAGGACAGTGGGCTACCTGGGTATGCAGAGGGAGGAGGATCTCTTGGGGAGGACATGGGTGATAGTAGTAGTTAAACCAGGGCCAGGGAGGGGCCAGCAGGCCCTGCTTGTTTTTGTTCTTAAGAAGAAAAAGGTCCCATGACAGAAGTCAGGGTTGGTCTGTTACCTGCTTTTTGCCCTGTGAACTAAGTCCATAAAAGAGCAGTGATTGTGGTAGAGTCTGTTGGCTCAGGCGCCTTACCTGCTGCACTCCAGGGAGGCAAAGGTTGCGAGGTTTCTGGATGGATAGAGGCCACCAAGAGCCTGGGAAGCTCTCTAGTGCTTACTGTCAGGCATCAACGCCCTGCGGTTACCCACAAGTGTACAGAGGAGAAATGGGGAGCCTTCTGCAAACAGGTTTCTGTGATAGCTGAACTGTGCAGGTCCTAGGGCGCAGAGCCATGCAGTTCCTCATTGGGTCTGAGGCCTGGGCATTGTGCTTGTACACCCAAGGACACATTTTTCAGGACAGGAGTAGAGAGTAGGACTGGCTCTCGGTTTTCTGCTTCAGAGATGCCTTCATTGTGTAATAACCCTGCTCCTGGACCTGTGGGCTGAGGCTGGGAGCAGAGCTTTGTGCTGATCCATCGTTTGCACAGTGCAGTGTTGAAGTGTTCGATTCACACCTTACTTCCGGATAGTGTCAGGGATGCCTGACCTGAGTGAGACACAAGCCAGGTGGTTCATAGGTGAGCCCGTCCTGGTTGGTGAGACCTCTGGGGCTCTGGTCTTCTCCTGCAACTTCACTTGTCCATGATAGGGCAGTGGCCAGGGGCTTGGAAGCTGGGACTTTGTGCCTGGGCACAAGAGACAGGCCCTGCTGAGGAGATGAAACTGTCCCCCAAGTCTGGGGACATACCTTAGTGACACAAGTGCCTGCCTGGCAAGCACAAGGTCCTGAGTTCGATTCCCTATACAAAAAAAATCTTAAAAAAAAAAAAAAAAGAAGAAACTATCCCCCAACACCTTCTGGAGCCTTCTGTATATGGCCTGGGGAGAGTGTGCCCACTCTACCTGTTGGCAGAGTAGCCTGAGAAGCCTCTCACATGGGTGCATGCCGGGGATTTGCTCCCCTCAGGACAGGAGTGTGGAACTCACAATGCTACCCCATGCTGTCAGATTTATTTCACAAGTGAAGAAGTGTTTGAGAAGCTGGAATTCTGTCCATTTCCTTGGTAATGAAAATTTTCACAACTTAAAATTGTTTGCAACTTCAAACTTACCGAAAAACTGTCAACATGGGGAAACAAGGATTCCCATAGTGTGCCCCACAGAGGCCATCTGCATGGCTGCCCCGCCATCACCACACACAATGTGTTGGGCACAAGCCAGAGACCTCAGGTGCCCTGTTCCGTGGACACTACAGTGTGCACTATTTCTGAAAACAAATACATGCTTGACATACTCTTAAATGAACATAGTGCAAGGAGCAAAATCTGGAAGTAGGGCGGAACATCACATTACCACCCCAACTGCAGGTTTATTCCCCTTTTGTCAGTTGGACCCATAATGACATTTCCACCCGATTCCCCGTAATTCCTGGTTTTTGCAATTTAAATGAGGCCTGGAATTTAGACTGGTTTGACCAGTTCTGTCCTCCCCACTATGGCTGGATTGAGTTGCCGGCTGGATTGGGTTACATGGAAGAGGTACACCTGCTCAGCACCTCCCCGTTTTGTTTAGAAGGCATGCTAAACTGAGGCTGGTATTTCTCAGGGAGGTGGACTTCGTCTTGTTTTGGTTTTAGTGGATGCCCCCTCACTTCCTAGGGTGTCAGCCGCTGCTGGGCCAGTAGGGAGTGAGGCTCACAGAGGCACTGCTCCTCCTCGGCTGCTGGCCCTGACTTGAGAACTTCCTGGCCTGGCTCCCAAGGGTGCGTAGGAGATGCATGGTTTTAACTTAATGAGGCCTAAACCTGAGCCTCTTGCTGCTGCTTGCTCAGCAAGTTTCTCCTGGAACATGTCTCTGCAGATCTGTCCCTAAGAATCTGAGATTCTCTGGGTCCCTACCTTCCTGAGCTTCCTGTCAAGAGAACTGGGTGAAGAGGGGGTGTACTTATCGGCACTTTGAAGATGGCAGTGGGTGCCTTTCTAGTGGTGGGAAAATTGTTTTTCACGCCAAATTTAAATTATCCTTCCTTAGAGAAAAAGAGTAGGAACAAGCTCTGACAATTTGCCGTGGCAGGCACTTTAGTGAAGGGCTGACAATGAGGCTGGCGTTATGGGCTCATGGTCACAAGCAGTGACAGGCTGCCCAGCCACCTGGCAGGGGTCTCTCCAGGATAGCTGTCAGAGCAGTAGGAGAAGCTGTCCCTTGGCTGGCTGCTCTCTCAGTTGCTGAGCAGTAGGGGAAGGGTCCTTTGTTTCAAAGCCCACCGTGGTGTGGTTGGCTGCTGGTGGGGACAGGGAACTTGGGGATCTGTCATTTCCAGCGAGGCCAGGGATTTCTTAGGTAACAGGTGGTGTCTGTGAGCCCAGAGGATGCTCTAATCTCTGGACAGTCCACTCTTTTGGAGGGGGTATTGGAATTAGCACTCAGCTGAAGGAGTTGTCTCTCTTGGGGTAAACAGATAGGACAGGAAAGTTGCAGCTGGATGGAGCCAATCTCCCTTGCCTCCTGGTCCATTGGGTCTGCCCCAGGGCTTGATGAATCTGAGTGGATTTCATTTGGGGGGATGAGCCCCAGAGTCCATTGTGTGTCTCAGCTTTGCCAAGTAGATGGAATGGGTGACACAAGATAAACACAGTCCCTGCTGGACATGGCCCTACCAAGGCCCACAACTTGTTGCACCTGGCCATTTGTATCTGCCTTGGTTTGAACAGCTCCTGAGTAGTAGGAAACCTGGGCCTTTGAACATGAGGTTCCTCATGACACGGGCCTGTGTACCTCTGGCTGAAAAGTCTGTCCTGGCCATCTTGGGGTGGGAATGTGGAGTTGGAGGCTGGACTTCAGGGACCTTGTTCATGAGCACAGGGTCAAAAGCTGAGGCTCTTTCCTACCCTTTCTCAGGTAGTAGGAACTGGTGTTCTGGGATCTGCTCTTCCTTTGCTTTACTATGGATGATCACTCTTTATCATTGTGGTGCTGGGGGTGGAAGCCAGGCCCTTGTACACACTGGGCAAGTGCTTTACCACTGAGCCACACTGCAAGTCCCGACATCAAACGTGAAGTCCTCCTGCCTCAGCTTCCTAAGTAGCTGGGTGGCTGTATGCCTGGTTTATGATCCCAAGGCTAGACTTTTTGATCATAAAACATTTGCAGTGGCCAGAAAGGAAAGCACGAGTCCTACTTGGAGACAGTCAGTGCTGTTCCATATTGCAGAGATAGCTGTATTCCTCCTAAGGCAGAGATGGTGTGGGCTTTGGGACAGGTCATGCTCCTTTGGCAGTGGAATCATTTTCCCTATCTGTAAGCAGTGTGGACAAGGCTGATGTTCCATCACTGTAAGCTCTGTGTGCTCCAGAGGGGACGTAAATGAGCATGTTTGTGCACATTGTATGTTTGAAGGACAGCTTTTGGTTGGTGGGATGCGGTGCTCCTGAGGCAACAGCCAAGTTGATCCTGAATGTTTTCTGTGAATTGCAGGAAGCTCTTCGTGGGCGGTCTTGATTGGAGCACGACTCAAGGTAGGTGGGGCAGGGCTGGAGGCAGTGAGGCTTATCTCTTGTGACCCTCTTGGATCGGTTGAAGTACTTGACATTGTGTTGGTTTTTGGGCTTGAGACTATGTCTGGGAGCTGATGGATCAGAGATGGTGCTTATTTGCTTTGCAACTGTTAATTTGATCCTGACCTTTCCTGTCAGCCCAGGGAAGGTTGTAGACCATAGGCTCTGAGGCAGGACTGTTCCCTGTGGAGCAGAGGGCTCTCTGAATCCACTAGGGCAGAATGTGTAGTGGAGTAAGTGTCCTGGACTGCAAGTGAAACGGTCATATTTGCTGTCCTGTCCCCCACAAAGATAGAACTTACATAATCATTTGCCATGGTTCTGATCACTAGCTCCTTCCTTCCTAATTTATGAGGACATAGTGCAGCTCAGTGGAATTCCTTTGGCCCATCCCCATGTCCCCTGACTCTTCCACATCAGTTGCTAAGCTAGTTGTCATTGGGGTCATTGCAGACCTTTTCAGGTGAGGGTGATGAGCTGGGGGAGAGAGTGTGTGTGTGTGCTGGCATTTGGATGAGTATACACTCCCAACCATGAAATGTACGCTTAATGTTCTGGTTTGTGTGTCTGTGCTTTTGTTCCTATCTCTGAGCAGAGACTCTGCGCAGCTACTTTTCCCAGTATGGAGAAGTTGTAGACTGTGTCATTATGAAAGATAAAACAACGAACCAGTCTCGCGGTTTTGGGTTTGTCAAATTTAAAGACCCAAACTGTGTGGGGACAGTGCTGGCCAGCAGACCACACACCTTGGACGGCCGGAATGTGAGTGTGTTGCCTTATGCTCCCTTGCCCTGTCTTTCTTTCAGCATAAGTCCATCAGTGAACTTCAATGTGGTTGTAGAGAATGTTTTCACGTGGGTTGGTTGAAAGGGTTAGACAGACTACTGGGATCAGTAGCACAGTACTGAGCCAGTTTTGTTGTCCAGATGGCTGCTATTGCAAACAACTTTTTTAGAGAAAATAGCCTATATTCACTACAGCCTGGTTTGAACTTTCTACAGATTGACCCAAAGCCATGCACACCTCGGGGGATGCAGCCAGAGCGGACACGGCCGAAGGAAGGATGGGTAAGGGCTGGGTAGCCTCTCTGTGTGCTATTTTCTGATCTAGGTTGGGTTGGGTTGGGTTGGGTTTAGTTTTGTTTTTGTGGATTGTTTAGTTTTGTTTGGGGATTGAACCCAGGACCTTCACACTGAGCTACATTCCCAGTCCTTTTTAAAAATTGCTTATTTAGGGCCAGGGATATAGCTCAGTGGCACAGCACCTGCCTGGCAAGCGTGAGGTTGTGAGTTCAATTCCCGGTACAAAAAAAAAAATTGCTTTTTTAGTGCTGGAGATGTAGCTCAGTGGTGGAGCACTTGCCTAGTATGCATAAGGCCCTGAGTTCGATACCTGGTACCACCACCACCAAAAAAAAAATTTGCTTATTTTGAGACAGAATCTCACTAAGTTGTCCAGATTAGGCTTGCACTTTCAATTGCCTTGGCCTCCCAGAGTAGGAGATGACAGGCATCTGCCACCTGCCTGACTTTCTAACTTTATATAAGAAACTTTTCAAGTGCATAAAAATTGGGAGACTAACACAGCAAATACCTAAATACTCCACTAGATTCATTTGTTAACATTTTGCCAATATCTCATATATTTATGCCCATCTCTATATAGATACCATGCCTAACTAGCTGGTATCCTCCTAAAATCAGAACTGAAACCCACCATCATTACAGTAAGGACATCATGTGTCTGGTCCTCACATCTCCAGAGTGGTTTCATAAATGTCTCTATCTTTTGGCCTCCCTTTGCAGACTGTAGTGCAGTCAAGGTTGTGTCCTGCCTGGCTGTTAGCTAAGTCTCTTCAGTTTCCTGCCAGTAGTGAAATGTGACAGGCTTGTAATAAACTGCCCACCTTGTTGGCTTTCGACCCACATGTGCACCGGTGAAACCATCACCACAGCAGTGGTGATGACCACATAAGACACAAGGTCCTTGGATAGAAAATAAAGGAATGGTTAGGAGCAGAGGGGCAAAAGGGCAGCTAGGACTTGGATCAGAAAGGTGGAGTAAGACCGATGTCCCACCAGACTCTTCAACTGCCTCAACTTGGTCCTCTGTGTGACCAGCTCAAAAATGTCTTCCTGGGACCTAGCTTATCTGGGCCAGCTATAATCCTTGAAGCCACCTGTTTTGTTACCCTTCTAAAAGCCTTAGCCTCGTATTACACAACTGTGTGGAGTCTTGCTGTACTGCCCAGGCTGGCCTCAAACTCGGGCTCAAGTAACCCTCCTGTCTCAGCCTTCCAAGTAGCTGGAACTTCCAGCATATCATCTGTACCCAACTCATGGAGCTTTAACATTGTGTGGCAGTTATGGCTCAGAACAACTGAGGCAGGGTGTGTGGTGTGCTGTGTGTGCACTTGAAACAACCTTGTGAAAATGCTGTAGATCCTATCACCGTAGGTCTGCAGAGAAATGAGTCAGTATAGCTTAGTGTTTTAGTTGCTCTTTGGACTCAGCGGGTTCCTGGAATGTTTTGGTCTTGCCTTTAGCTGACTCGTAAACCAAGGCACAGAAGTTGTCGTCCAACCTGTGGGAAACTCTGAAGTCCCACTGTACACTGCTAACCCCTTCTCCTCCTCGACACAGCAGAAAGGACCCAGGAGCGATAGCAGTAAATCAAACAAGATCTTTGTCGGTGGAATTCCTCACAACTGTGGTGAGACAGAGCTCAGGGAATACTTCAAGAAATTCGGAGTGGTGAGTTCTTTGGCATGCCAGTGGCATTGGCCAGTCACAGTGGCTCCTGCCCCTTTGGCCTCCGGAGGCTGAAGGTGCAGCACCCATTCCTGGGCACTGGAAGCTCTGGTGTTCCCAAGACCCTGCTCCCCAACCTTCCCCTTGGTGGCCATTTAGGATCTCAGCAGAATATTCTGTGGCTTTTACAGCAAGTGGAGGAGGTTAAGCAGGTGGCCTTGTAACCACCATGGTGTGAAGCAGTGGAGTGGTACCTGGCGAGGCATGGGGTTTGGCCTGGCTGTGGGACCAATTAGCTGTGCCTGCGAAACTGTGCTGTCCCTTGGTTGCCTGAGGGATTATCCTAGATCAGGTCCACGAGCCTAACCTACCCGTGCACTTGGGTTAGCTTCTTTCCTCTGACCCCCATGGATGGATGCTTTTTCTGGTCTGTCCCATCAGCAGAGTGGCCCACATTCTGGAGGGAAACTCACCTGTCTACCAGGCCACCAGGGTTGTAGGAGGCTGTTCGACGCATTTCTTGCTGGACGTGTTCCCAGCCATGGCGAAACTCCTGCTGAGTTTTGTTTTCTGGAAAAAGATGGGATCTGGTAGAATCTGGAGGAATTTAGACTCATGGGAACCACAGGGAGAAACCTGGCACCCTGTGGTATAGAAAGTGAGGAGTCTGGGCTCAGCTTCTACTGGGCCTTGGTGCCAGCAAGTGTGTGAGGTGGGGGACATAATGTCATGTGAAGAGGGACTGTCTCACCTGGCCCTCTGAGGACTGCGCTGCCAGCTCTGGGTGCAGTTTGTGTCTGTCAGGTGTACCAGAGGGTGTTGCGGTTGGAGGCCAGCGGAGAAGAGTGGTGGGCAGAGAGGGTAAGGGACAGGAGGTAAAGGGCAGAGCACCAGGCTGCCGCTGACCAGGAGCTGCTGCCATTGTCCTGGAGCCCCACAGCTGCTGCAAGAGAGCTGGGTATGCTGCTTCTGTCCATGTCTTCCTGCTCTTGAATGTGAGCAGAAGGGTAGCTTTGGGTTCTTCTGGGTTCTGTACCTTGCTAGGACACAGCCAGGATCATGGCCCCTTTGTCTACCTTAACAAACCATGGTCAGGCGGATGGGCTGGGTCCAATGGTTACATCTACCTAATGAACACCAGGCTCCTGCCTTTTCTCAGATTTGAGACCTATAGAGGCAGTATTTGCCCTGGAACTTCTCAGGCTCAAACGGTCCCCAGCATTTGTTCCTCAGCTTTGGCTCCTGCTGGAATGAGATACGGCGTTGGCATTTGTCCCCATACAGTGCCCAGGCCTCATTCTACCCTCTCCTTCCAGGTTACTGAAGTGGTCATGATCTATGACGCGGAGAAGCAGAGGCCTCGAGGTAACGACAGATCTTGTTTGTCCTGACCTGTGCCCCTTTCCCCTCAGATGGCAAACTATCTCACCCCAGACCCAGGCTAGGAGGTGGCTGCAGGGCATTGCTCAGTGAGGTCGAATTGGAGACAAGCCACCAAAACCTAGGCTTCCCGTGCAGCCCCGCTCGGCCTGCCTGCTTCCCCAGGTCAGATGTCACATTGTTTTTGGCTCGTCCTTGTGAAGTTTTTACAACCAGACATGGATTCCTACATGGTTCTGTTTTCACATGTCTCCTGGAAGAGTGTGGTTCTGCAGACCGGGAGCTTCCTACACTGTGTTGTCCCTGTCCTTGCCAATGTGGCTAGTCCCGCTTGCACTTCAGCTGTGCCTGCCCAGCTCAACTTGGAACCTGGGCTTTCCTTGCTCCATCCCATGCCCCATGCCTCCCCCGCCCCCCGCCCCCCGCCACTGTTTTGTTTTGTTTTGTTTTTCTCTTTAGGTCAGAGGGGCAGGGGAAAGATAAGGGAGGCACGCCCTCGGGCTGTGCGCCATCTGCTCTTCTTGTCCCACATATCTGCACTGGTTTGGGCCCCGGTGACAGTGCCCGCTTTCTTCCCCCTTTTTTGTGGCTGCTGCTGTTTGTTGCTGCCTGCATTTTTGGTTCATCAGCTGCTTTTGAGCCAGCCATGTGCAGTGGCACTAAGTCACATGGCCCTTCATGTGCCCTTGCCCCAGGTCAGCAGAGACAGCCCCTTGGCTCACAGCATGCGCCCGCCATGCTGGAGAATAGTTTGCCATTTGAACTTCATCCTCTTATTCCATGGTTAAGGAATGTATTTCTCACTTCGTGTGATTAAGCCGTTAAGTCTTAGTCTTAATTTAACGTAGACATACATACTTAGTGATGTACTTAAGTGTCTGATAGTAAAATACAGTAATGTTAAGTAAGCTGTTTTTCTTTTTCTCTCTGAATTGTTTGTGATTAACGATATCTTTTTAGATTTCTCTTCTCCAGGTGCTAAATTATATCACACAGGTACAGGCCCGTCCCGCAGTCAGAGGAGGGAGCGGCTTTGCTCCAGTGGGGTGTAAACGAAGTTTCAGTGTGTTTCTGTCCCGCTGCTGCCTCTTGACAGACAGATCGTTCTAGACAGCCCGCCCCGGGCTCCTTCCCCACGACCCACCGCCTCTTGCACTGTTCCCGGACCAAGCCAGCCCTGTGGCTTCAGACACTCCTGCTGTTTGAGAAAATGTCAACTTCTCACATGTTGTCATCACCTATGTTGTGTTCCAAATACTGCCTCCGATCTTGTGAAACCTCGGTGCGAGGAAGCTGAGGGCTGCTCTTGGGCGCCCCTGGTCCCCTGTGGCCAGGCACAGCTGTCCGCCTGCTCTCCCAGCTATCATCATCTGGCTGGGACTGGATGTAGCTAGTGTTGCAGAGCCCACGCTGCTGGAGGCGTGGCAGGAGCTGCCATAGAGAGCTTTGGGGCAGGCCCGTGGATCCGTGTTCCCTGACCTCAGCCTTCAGGACCGGAGAGGGTGCCTGATAGCAGAGGGCAGATCACGGGTCCTCCCAGACAGCAAGCTCTCTTCTTGGTTTCTCTATATCTTTTAAGATGGATCTGTCTCCTTCCCCTTTTCTTTCCATGTCTCGGTTGACTCTAAGATAGTGGATACATCCCTGTCCATGAGACCTCACCAGTGTCTCCACCACAGAATGTGTCTTGTGCAAAAACTCACGCCTTGCGGCAGCTGCAGCCCTGACTGGCTCATGCTCGCTCCAGCCTGCTGCCTCTGCTCACCTCTCACTCCTCTGGTCTCAGGTTTTATTCCTCCCAGCCTTTGTCTCCTTCCGTGTGCTTCGCCTTCATGGTTCCACTCTCCCTCCTCTCCTGTTCTGTGTCACCTCTGCGCGTGTGCATAGTTGTGCTCAGGTACAGTGTGTGCACGGAACAGATCAGAAGGCTCTGAGCCCTGGTTCCTTCCCTGGGAATCTTGGTCATCTCATATTCCTGAGCTACCCTTTCTTCCCTACCTCCATCCTTTTCCTGCCCACAGTTTTGCTTCCAATTTTTCTACCTGATCCCTGCTGGCTAGAGCCCCAGCACCCTATTTCATCAGCTTGAGAACCTGTCGACAGGCTGCTCCTTCCTGGGGCCTCCCTCACCTGCTCCGACCCTACTCCCTACCTGTAGCCTGTGGGCACTAGCTCATGCCTCTGTCCCATGCACAGTGGCCTGCGTCGTGCTGTTCCTCTGCTGTGTGATGCTTTGTAGTGCACCCTGTGCCCCTGCCTCCAGCGCAGGCATCACCCTGACAGCCCTGCTCTCAGCTCTTCCTGGCTCTTCCCTCATCATCTTTGTTCTTCTGAGGTCTTTGGGCAGCCCTGTGCTGCCCGCTTCTTTGTGCCCAAGCACCGGGCCATCTGGAGGTACTACTGTGCATTGGGCTGCCTCCCACGCAGGACGAGACACGCCCCATTAGCTGGGTGGCCATGGTCACCCCAGACCAACTAAACTTCGTTTATACTGCCACTTTCTTGTGTTTGGGAAATGCTAAATTTTTTTTTCCTTTAAAATTTTCTTTTTTAATTATATGGTGCCTCTTGCTCTTGCTGCTGACAGCAGAATTTGACCTGCTGGAACCCGTTGTGGCCTGTATCTTTGTGTTTTACCTGTTTATTTATTTACTTATATACATGTAAACATACGCATATTACTCTGGTAGGACTCCGAGGGCTTACCCAACAATGTTGGATAAGCTTAGCGAGGCGCTCACTGTGATAGAACTGTACTTGGTTAATGCTTTAGAACGATATATGGCTGCTGTCAGCACTAGCTGCAAAGCAAATTGCAAGCCAAGGGGGAGAATCTGGGGTTTCAGAGAAGCAGAGCCGTACCCACACACACATACCCTCTGACTGAGGTGGCTCTTGATGTCCCCTCTTGCTGTGGCCACTTGTCCTTATCCTCACAGCCAAGAGCCAGAGCAGTGTTGCAGCCCAGGCCTTGGATGTACTCGAACACTTTATTTGCAATGGAGGCTTCTAAGATTTGGCCTCCAGTCCCACATGTGTCTCTGACCCGGTTCCTGAGCCCCCTTTTGGGCCTAGGCAGAGACTTAAGTGGCCTGGATGGGGCATGCGGACATCACAGTCTGACCACTCTGTTGAGTTGGCAGCTCCTAAGCAGGGAGCCCCAGCTGGGCTGCAGCATCTTCACACAGGCTTAGCTGAAACCCTGGGTTGATCCTTTGGTCCGTCCCTAATACTGTTCATCATCCTGTTTTGTGTCACAACACCCTGCTACCTTGATTCACTCTTCGTCGTTGGCTAGGTTTTGGATTTATTACTTTCGAGGACGAACAATCAGTGGACCAGGCTGTCAACATGCATTTTCACGACATCATGGGCAAAAAAGTGTGTAGTTGTAGTTTTATTTTACCTTAAGATCAAACCAAGTCTTAGGCAACTTAGGGATTTCACTGGAAAGGAACATTCCTTAGCAGACAGAGGGTCAGACAAGTTCACCCTGTGGTTCCAGCTGTGTGAGGTTGGACCTGGTTCTACCCTGGGGCTTGGGGTCCCTTCCTTCCCCAGTGGGCTGGCACTCCGGGGCTGGGGCCGGGTGGGGTGGGGCATGGGGCTAGGCTCCAGTGAGATCGCAGTGTTGCCTCAGGCTTGGTTTCCGCGACCACTCCTTCAGATGTCTGCCCCATCCCCTTTGTGTAATGGCGACTTGTAATGTGACCAGCAAGGGCCTCTGAGAACTGAGGTTCCACTTAAAACAGAGAAATGCAAAAACATCATGAAGGATTGGTTTTCTAAATTGGGTCACTTACTGTGAAACTCCGGGACCAGCCACATGCTCTCGATAGTACTTAACCACTGTGCAGTCAAGTGACCTCTGGTTGTTTGATCTTCATACTGTGTTGCTGCCACAGAGCTGAGCAGGGACAGGACACTGGGTCCTTGAAGGTGGGGCTCCTGAGGAGTCAGCTTGAGGGGTTGCCTCGAGGTAACCCGCAGCTAAGGCTCAGGGGCGCCATCTGAGCAGGACTGCTTTGTGGTCTTTGTAAAGCCAGGTGGTGCTGAGCTGCCTCGGTGTGGGTCTGTCGTGGCCTTCACTGCTGCGCAGCTCCGCCTCCGTAGGGTTCGTGCCACAGAGGAGGCCACGCCATGCCTGTGGGTCCTGTTGCCCCAGGGTCTGTGCCCACAGTCTCCTTACTGGAGCCTTGGTTCGCAGCAGAATGTGGTCCTTCCTGCATATGGGTGGCCTAGCACCATTTGAAGACTTGATGACTTCCTTTTGGCCCTAACTGAGCAGGAACCAAACCTTTTCTGACATTGCTTGCAGCTTTCACTTGGAAATTAGCATGCAGATTGTAAGACACTGGCAGTTGTGAACTAAGTTCAAAGTAGCCTCCTCCAGTATTCCAAGGTCCCGTTCCATTACAAATTTGGAGAAATTGTAGCCTTGCTATGTGATGCAGAAAGGGCTATGTAGTGTACGTCCGCACTGTCCTCAGGTGCCTCTAGATCCCTCCAGCCATGGCTGACCTGGCTGAGGTGATCCGGGGAGGGAGGGGCTCACTGCCACACTGGAGAGAGACTCGGGTGTCCGGCCTGCCCATCGCCAGCTGACCTTCACTGGCCGCCATGGGATCCTCAGTGGGGGCTTCTGCTTATGAAGGACTTGGTCCCCTGTATTACCAGCTGACTGCATCCTGTGTGTGCTAGGAAAGGGTAAAAGAATTATTTTAAGATTACAAGGACTGCATTGCTTTGTAAGCAGGAACCAAATTCCCCTAAGGAGCGTGTGTGAAGACTCATTAATTTGAGTCCTTTGAAACGGGTCCCTTGGTCCTGCTGTCGCATTGCCCTGAGCTAACAGGATTCTGTTCCCATCATACAGAGTGTCCTTGGGGTGTCAGGCAGGTGGGGAGACTTTGTACCTCTGCCAGGCTTCCTGTTTGTTCTTGAATAGGCAGAGCCAAAGCAATTCTGAATGCATACCGCCTCCCTGTCCAGTCTGAGACCCCAAGGTTGACTCCGGGTAAAATCGTCTCTATTCTCATTAAAATTTATTATTAAAAATAAGAAAGATGCAGAATCCTCCAAGCTGAGGCAGCCCTGGAACTGGGGGTCCTTTTGTTGTTGTCAGTCTGCCCAGTTTGAAAGGAGGCAAAAAGGCAAGGTCAGCCCTGCGCTCAGAATAAGTAGGTCAGGCAGGGTCAGCCCCATCCCCACCCATCCCCATCCCTCCATCCTCAGAGGCTGAGGCCCTGGCCATGCAGGGAGAGTCTGAGTTGCCGCTAACACAGTATGAAGATTGCTTACTGATTCAAATGTCCATTTTATTGCATGTTTGTTTACTTTTTTTGTTAGATGTAATGTAAGATTCTCTTATCACATCCATTCCCTCTGACATTCCTTTGAGTTAATTGAGATTCTTTAAGCGTTAGCCTGGGGAAGGTAAGTCTTTATCTTCCATTAGACATTTTAAATAAAATCTAAGTCAAAACCAACTGTGTTTCTCAGGTATGCGGTAAAGTACTGGGTGTTGGGCTCTGAAACGCCCAACCGGGATGAGTCTGGGAGGTGCTGGTCCCTTGTGTCCCTTGTTTTCAAGAGGCCGCTGAAGGAGGGCGCTGCCGCCTTAACTTGGTGAGACCCAGTGCAGCTGAGCCCTCCAAGGGTTCTTGACTCCTGCTGCTGCCCACAGCGGTGGGCGCGGGTGTCTTACACTTTGTATCTGTTGTACCTGAGAAACATTTTTTAAGCAAAAAAAATTAAAGAGCAAAAAAAATTTTTTAAGAAAAAAAGTACTGGCCTAAATAAGGTTTATAGTTAAGTACTTAGTCTTAAGTTGTAAGATGCTAAGTGTAGTTGTAAGTTACTGAGGGTGTGTCTAAAGGGAAGGGGCGCTGGGCTGCAGCTGCTCCCTAAACCTCAGCTCGGTTTGTTTAGGTGGAGGTTAAACGGGCTGAACCTCGGGACAGCAAGAGCCAAGCGCCAGGGCAGCCAGGTGCCAGCCAGTGGGGGAGCCGTGTTGTGCCCAGCGCCGCCAATGGCTGGGCAGGCCAGCCTCCACCCACGTGGCAGCAAGGATACGGCCCACAAGGTAAGGCAGTCGGGGATCCCACTTTCCCTTGCTAGGAACACTGGGGTTCCTGGGCCCGGCTTTTGGCACAGCAGTTCAGTGGGCATAGGTGGAGGAGAGTCTGGGCGCTGTCCCTGCTCCTCAAGGCACCTGTCTCTGTGGCTCTCAGTAGCATTACAACTGTGGCTTAGTGCTGCCTACAGTCTGGGGAGTGGGTTGCTGTCGCAGGGATTGCTGCAGGAACAGCTACTGCTGGTCTGAGCACGTGGTCAGAGGTCAGAGGTCAGATGTCGTTCATTTGGCATGGGGAGTTCTTCCCTCTGCTGCGCAGAGCATGGGTGTGGTGGAAGGCCCCCCAGGGCACCGTGAGGGCCTGGTGGGCTTGGATCTTAAACTTTGTTGTTACTTCTGCCAAGCAGTCTGCCCATCCCTGAGTGGTAGATGTTGCAGTGAGTGTGTGGCTGCCTGGCCTTCTAGGTCTGCGGGTGCCCCCCACCTTTGAAATGGGTTTGTGTGACCTTCGAGTTTCTCAGGGGATCTCCCCCTGGTGGAAATGAGTCTGAACAGCAAGTCATTTTTTTCTCTGTGCTTGTGCGTGCGTGCGTGCGTGCGTGCATGCATGCATGTGTGCTTGTGTTTTGGTTCTGGCAAGGGATCCCTGCCTCACACATGCTTACCACTGAGCCCTACCAGCGTGACAAAACAATTTCTGTACCCAGCCATTTCAGGAAGCCATGAGCACTGTCCTTGTGTTCCCAGTTCTTAGGGGCTGAGAGGCATTGGTGTCTTCCTTTGAAGCTGGGGTGTCCTTGTCCCCAGTCAGCAAACAGTACCTGCCGAGTGGGAGGTGCTCCCAGGTACTTGGGGACAGGAGGCCACTCTGGCAGGGTTCAGGAAGGGCTTCACCTACAAGACAGGCTCTGGCCAGTGCTGCCACCATGAAGCCTAGGTTATCTATGTCCCTGAGCCTCAAGAGAGATCAGGGATCAGCCCCAGCCTGTGGCTATAGCTCCTTGGCACTGAGTACTGGGGACCTGGCACCAACCCTTCTCTTCTGTTTTCTCATCTAGGAATGTGGGTGCCAGCAGGACAGGCAATTGGTGAGTCCTTACTTGTAGAGGAAGGGGAAGAGCTGACTGCTGCAGTCCTTAGGCTGCCGGCAGAGCTCCATCCGGCTCTGCCTGCAGTCGGGAACCCTGCTGGTGGTGGATAGTAGCCTGGAGGTGGTGTCCTTCCACTTCCTGTGCTGAGGAAGAAGGGAGCGCGCAGGCCCCCAGTGGCCCAGGCTGGGTGTGTCTCACGTTCTCCCACTCATTCACCCTACTCTGTTCTAGGTGGCTATGGACCGCCCCCTGCGGGGAGAGGAGCCCCCCCACCGCCTCCACCTTTTGCCTCCTACATCGTTTCCACCCCTCCCGGCGGCTTTCCTCCTCCTCAGGGCTTCCCACAGGGCTATGGTGCCCCACCGCAGTTCAGTAAGTCTCCCCCAGACCTTGCCTGCTTTTGTCATCTTGACTCTGGGGCACAGGCATGGCCTAGGCTTCACATGGCCTTGTCAGGAATAACCGTGCCACCATTTTTCCTCGCCCTGAATGTTCAGTGCAGGGTCAGAGCAAATGACTTTTGCTGCCTTTGGCTCTGTTTCTTAACGTCCAAGGTGTTCACATCCCCACAGGGCTGATCTCCCTTGGTTATGTCCTCTGAGACAAGATCTGAATGTCCTGCCCTGTTCTGTAACCACACATGAGGGCCTCTTTTTTGTTAAACCAGGAATTGAACTCAGGACCTTGTGCTTGTCAGGCAAGCGCTTATGCCACTGAGCTATATCCCCAGCCTCATGAGGGCCATTTGCATGGGTGAAACCTCAGCAGGTTTTGTTCTTCTGAGACGAAGTCTTACTATGAAGTCTAGGGTGGCCTTAAATTTGTTGTGATTCTTCTGCCTTAGCCTTCTGAATCCTAAGATTACAGGTGTGTGTCACCACAGCTGGCTGAAACCTCAGCTCTTGACTGATTTTACCATATACTTTTCTTACTGGAGATTTGGATTAAAATCTGCTACCATGCTACAGTATTAGAGCACTTTCTTTTTTTTTTTTTGGTTTTTCGGTTTTTCTCTGGTACCGGGAACCGAACTCACGACCTTGCGCTTGCCAGGCAGGCGCTTTGCCACTGAGCTAAATCCCCAGCCCCAGAACACTTTCTTTATGTCCTACAGGTGTAGGGACCCAGGCCCCATGCAAGTGTCTGTGGGTTTCCTGGTGCCCATTTCAAAGGTAAAGAGAAACAAGGAGACTCACCCACCGTACACACCTTACACAGTGTGGCTGAGAGACTGGTGGCTCAGCACGGAATGAGTGTGGTTTTATGCAGTTTTCTTTCCGTGTTAAGGGTGTGTCACACACTTGGGTCACACCACAGTTAGGAATAGTCACATTGGGGCCTCAGTGGCCGATTGTGGCTGGGGCCTAGAACTGGACACTTTAGTCCTACAGTCTCTGAGGAAAAGGGCTTCCTTTTATGTGTAACAATACAAGATCCTGGCAGAACCCAAGGCTGTCAGCTCACCTCTCTCAGCCTTTGTCTTACAGAGCACTCAGGTGCCTTACCTTCCCGCAGTTGTGCTTGTGCTCAGTGGGGTGGGAGCTCTCTGTCGTGTTTTTTTTGTTTGTTTGGTATTTTTGAGACAGGGTCTCACTACGCAGTTCAGACTGGCCTTGAGCTCACTTGTAGCCCAGGCTGGTCTCTAACTCTTACAACAATCCTCCTGCCTCAGCCTTCCACGTGCTGGGATTACAGGCGTGCGCCACCACGCCTGGCCGCTTCTCTGTCGTTTCTAAAGGACATTTTGCCATGGAATTCCTCCCTGCCTCAGTACAGCTTAGCACTGTGGCACCTCCAGGCACGGACCTGGGAGAGCAGATCTCTTCTGTGGGTTCTAGGTGGAAATCCTGCCTGGTCTGGCTGTAACACCACCGCTTGTGTCCTCTCTTCTGTGTCTGCAGGTTTTGGCTATGGGCCTCCACCCCCTCCACCGGATCAGTTTGCCCCTCCTGGGGTCCCTCCTCCGCCTGCCACACCTGGGGCAGCGCCTCTGGCCTTCCCGCCCCCTCCATCTCAGGCTGCCCCAGATATGAGCAAGCCCCCGACGGCACAGCCAGACTTCCCCTACAGTCAGTATGGTGAGTGCCTGCAGCAGCCCCCATGCATCCTGCTGCTCCTGGAGGCCCCTGGGCTTGCTGGTCTGGGAGTCCAGGGCTGAGCCTTGAGGGGTGGATTCTGCAATCACTCTCAGAACTCAAGGCCTTGCTGTGTGCTTGGTTGAGACCATTGGTCAGGGTAGGGGCCCAGGCCTTCTTCCCTTAGTTGTTTTGATTTCACCAGCAGCCCTCTGTAGGAGGAGGCTCAGGGCTGTAGCAGGCCCTGGCTGGGCAACAGGCATCAGGGTGGGCTGGGGGCTAGAGGCAGCTTGTCACCATGTGGGGGGATGGTACCTGGATGTACCCTGGGGGTGAGGGTGGCTGGGGGGCATGGGTCAGGACACCCAGCTCTTTTTTTTTTGGCCTTTTAGAGACAAGGTCTCGCTATGCAGTTCAGGTTGGCCTTGAGCTCACTTTGTAGCCTAGGCTGGCCTTGAACTCACAACGATCCTCCTGCCTTAGCCTCCCAAGTGCTGGGATTACAGGCGTGTGCCACCATGCCCAGCTGACACCCAGCAGTCAGTGCTGGTCATTCTTGTCCTGCCTGGAGCCCAGTGCCAAGGCGTGCCTCAGTCAGGACAGATGACGGGGCTTCCTTGCAGGGGGCTTTGCATATTGCCGGCTCCTGTGGAACCTGGGGACACTTGGCATGGATAGGATCTAAGAGTGTCACTGCCTGTCACAAGCTGGCTGACATCAGCCCCGAGGGCCTGTCAGCATGGGTGGATGGATAGTGCTCTCACTGTCCATACTGATTCTTGGGTTCTTGGGTTTGGTTTTATCTTTGTGAAGCTGATTTTTTTCCTTGGGATATTGGATATTAAACTTAGGGCCTCTGCACTGAACTAAATAAGTCGTCAGCCCTTTCATTTTTATTTTTAAAAAAATACTTAGTGGTTTTTTGAGAAGGTCTCACTATGTAGTTAACGCTAGGTTTGAACTCACTTTGTAGCCCAGGCTGACCTTGATCTCACAGGAATCCTGCCTCAGCCTTTCAAGTGCTGGGATAACAGGCACCTACCACCACATCCAGCTTGTTTTTTATTTTGAGACAAGGTCTCAAGTGAGTATTTTGCCCAAGTGGGGTTTGCTTGAGCTTATGATTTCCCTGCCTTAGCCTCCTAAGAGTGCTGAGGCATGTGCACCACACGGGGCTTTACGTTGGTTCTTGGGCTGGGGATATAGCTCAGTGGCACAGCCCTGCCTTCGAGTCCCAGTACCAAAAAAACCGTAAATACATTGGTTCTTGGTCACTGCATAGCCCTGGGTGCTGTGGCTGCAGGGAGCTGAGCTCCCATGTGGGGCCTGCTTCTGACTCCTGTGGTTGCCTGGGTCTCGTCTAGGCAGGCCTGGCCTGTTCCTTGCTTACTCTTAGGGTCAGGCTGAGCAGTTAGTGCTGCTGGTGCCGCCTCTCTCTCCACTGTCCTCCCATCAGCCTGCACCCTCGATGGAGCATCCTCTGGGCCAGGGCAAAATGGATAATGGCAGTGCCCTCAGGATCTCTGCAGGCTCCATGAGTGCCCAGGACCATGTCTGCTAGTGCCCCAGTTGGGAGCCCAGGGTCTGGGCTGGCCTCCTGGTGGAGCAGGGTCCAGGCCGTCCACATGAAAACGGTGCTGTCCCATTTCTCAGCAGCATCCCTACTCCTGAGGTTGGTAGTATGGATGTCTGGGTCTTGTCTAGGGACAAAGGGCCTGCCCAGTGGATACCATCACCCATTGGTCAGCAGTATGCTCCATGCCCTTGTTAACCCACCAAGCTGCCGCCTTGAGATTTGGGCCATGCTGAAGGGCACACCATGCGGGCTCTGGGCCTAGCCCTGAGATGCACCAACACTCTACTGGAGCATGGGCTATGCCTGCCCCAGGGTCCTGTCCTGGAAAGTGCACACGCACATGAGAACAAACTTTCTAGATGCCCTGGGTCTCCATGGCAGCTGAGTGGTATGTGGCAAAGCCAGACCCCTCACCCGCCTCACCCGAAAGCCCTGGGAGGATGACAGATCACATGGCCTATGAAGGATTGAGAAGCCTCTCTTCCTTCAGTGTGGGTCCTACCCATGAGGGTTTAAAGATGAAACTCCTGACTTGTCTCTCTGCTGATGGACCCCAGCCAGGCCGGGTCCCTGGTGCCTCCTGTCCTGTGGGGCCCTCAGACTCATCTTGAGTGCAGGCTGCCACCCAAGGGCAGAGCTGACGGGCATGTGGGCTGCCCAGGCCCAGAACTCACGGCGCTCTCTCCCCAGCAGGTTACGGGCAGGACTTGAGTGGCTTTGGACAGGGCTTCTCTGACCCCAGTCAGCAGCCCCCCTCCTACGGGGGCCCCTCCGTTCCTGGCTCAGGGGGCCCCCCCGCTGGTGGCAGTGGCTTCGGACGAGGTCAGAACCATAATGTGCAAGGATTCCACCCCTACCGACGCTAGGACGATGCCACATGGACGTCCGCACCGCTGAGAGCAGGATTGAAAACTTGTGAACTCGTGACAATCAAACTTGTCGGAAAAATTGCGACTCAACCTGGGGGTGGGGGGAGGGCAGAGGCCTGGAGGCGGCTGTGGGTGTCCGGACTGCAGTTTTTAAATACGTTTCTTTCTCTGACCCATCAGCACAATAAAAAAAAAGTCACTGGTTCAACAACAGGGTTTAAAAAAATGTCTTCAGCTTTAATTCAAGACTTCAGGTTTCTTTTCCTTCCTTTATTTTGAGATTTATTTTCCTGAGCCTTTTGTTTTACCGTATATTGTAAACTTTTATGTTAAAAAATATACATTTACAAATTGTGAGATTTTTAAGAGAAATTTTCTACGATGTATACTGGCTTATTTTTTAATTTAAAACAGGGTTTGGTTGGCACTGGTGGGGGTGGGGGCGTTTTTAGTCTCCTCACTCCTGGCTTGGGGGTTGGGACTTGTTGGTCCAGAAACTCTGGGAGCTAAAGAAGAAATCTACTGAGTGTGTTTTTGTTTTTTGTTTATTCCTTGCTTTTGTCAGCTGGCTGCCTGGTGGCATCTGTGGGGCAGGTGATGCCCTGCTGGCCATCTGGCCCACATGGCAGCGCTGACATTGAGGTGGCATGGACCCCGCATAGTAGGCGAGGCCTTGCTGGAAGGCCACCTCCCTCGGGCGTGTGGCTTCGGGGCACTTACCATTGACCAGTTTGACCCTGGTTTGAATAAAGACAAGTGCGTTTGGATTAGAAACCCACATGGTGTCCTTCTTTCTCTCGTGATCTCGCCTGTCCTCACTCTTCCCTGAGGTGTGCCCGGGAAGATGTGGAGCCCAGGTGCTGCCCAGCCTCGCATGTGCACTTGTGAGCAGGGCTGGGGGACCTGGCTTGCATGGGTTTGGGGCTCTGGGATTCTGCAGGTGTGAATTGGGCATTCACTGTCGATGCCCAGTTGTCTTTGGCTTGTATCTGTGGTTGGTCTAAGTCCTCAAGAGCCCCTCAGCAGCCTTTCAGCTTCAGTGCCCCACCTTGTACCCGGGAGCCTAGGCCTCGTAGGGGCCCCCGTAGGAGGGGGGCTGCTGACTGGGGTCAGAGAAGCCCTGTCCAAAGCCACTCAAGTCCTGCCCCTTAACCTGCTGGGGAGAGAGCACTGAGTTCTGGACCTGGGCAGCCCACATGCTTGTCAGGTCTGAGCAACAGCACAGTGTCGGGGCATTAGGACAGGGAGGGACATCTTCAGAGCATTCTACCCTGGAAGGAAGGTCAGGTGGTGTACACACCTGTAATCCTAGCACTTGTGAGGCCAAGGCAGGACTGAGTTCAAGGCCAGCCTGGGCTACATAGTTCAATGCTAGCGTGAACTACATAGTAAGACACTGTCTCAAAAAAAGGGAAAAAAAATTTACATAGCCACACTTGGTGGCGCACACCTGTAATCCCATCACTTAGGCTGAAGCAAGAAGAGCTCAAAGTCAGCCTGGATGTACACTGGCCTGTTTTTAAATTTAAAACAGGGTTTGAGGGCTGGGGATTTAGCTCAGCGGCAAAAGCGCCTGCCTGGCAAGCGCAAGGTCGTGAGTTTGATTCCCGGTACCGGAGAAAAACCAAAAACCAAAAAAAATAAAATAAAATAAACAGGGTTTGGAAAAAAAAAAACAGCTTGGTTGGCACTGGTGGCGGTGGGGGTGTTTTTAGTCTCAGTCCTGGCTTGGGGGTTGGGACTTGTTTTTGTTTTTTGAGACCGGGTCTCACTACTTAGTGCAGGCTGGTCTGAAATTCAGAGTGATCCTTCAGCCTCAGCCTCCCTAGTGCTGGGATAACAGGTGTGTCCCACCATGTCTGGTGAACCTGGACTTTATAGCAAGATCCTGTGTAAGAAAAAAAACTAAAAGCTTACTGGAGTTGGGTGTGGTGGTGCATGCCTGTAATCCCAGCACTCGGGAGGCTGAGGTAGGATTGTTGTGAGTTTGAAACCAACCTGGGTTACAGAGTGAGCTCGAGGCCAGCCTGAACTGCATAGTGAGACCCTGTCTCAAAAAGACAAAAATAAAATAAAAGCTTCCTGGGTCAGGCATAGTACCTTAGCAAGAAAAAAAGTCCAGCATGGTGGTGCACACATCTGTAATCTGAACACTTAGGAGCCTAAGGCAGGAGGATTGCTGCAAGTTTGAGGCCATCCTGGGCTACATAATTCAAGACCATCCTGGTTTGTACCCAAGACCCTGTCTCAAATACCCAGGTCCAGAAGACTTAGGTTCAATCTCCAGTGACACAGTGCTGAGGATGGTGGTGGACACTTTTGATCCCAGGTACGTGGGAGTGTAAGGCAGGCAGATTGCAAAGTTTGAGGCTAGCACATGATGGCCTTCCACGGAGGCATGATAGTGAGAAGCAGCCCACAGCTGCCATTCCTGGTCAGACGTAAAGGTAAATGGTTGCCTCTCACGCCACTGGTACACTGCTCTTGGAGCTGGCTCCAGAATGGCCTTTGTTCCCTGCCCCGCTTCTACCATCCCAATTTAGAAGAGTTGGGGTCAGGCTGGTGATATAGCTCAGTGGTACAGTGTCTGCCTGGCAACTGTGATATTGTGAGTTTGATTCCCAGTACCAAAAAGAAGAGAAATTTTAGGGCTGGGATATAGCTCAGTGGCGCAAGTGCAACGTTCTGAGTTCGATTCCCAGTACAAAAAAAAGGAGAGTTGGGGTCAGGCAGAGTGAGCTCCCCCTGCACAGCACGGTGTCCACAGCATAAGCACCAGTCAGCTCTGCAAGGGTCGCTAAAGTATAAAGAATCAGCGCTGTCCACGCACGCTGAGTGTGCTGAAGTCCTGCTCTATCCACTGTTTTCCGTGTTCCTCTCCCTGCCTGCTTTGTTGGGGTCCTGTCCCCAGGCTAACAGGGAAACTGAGGCACCCTGCATCAGATCAAGCCTTGTACTGCCCTGTTCCAGATGCCTGTGTCCCAGTAGGGCAGCTGATCTCTGCCACCATGACCACTGATACTGCCGCCAGCATTCCTGGATGTCACCTATGTTTCCTCTATCATGAGCCTTTACTTCCTAATTTCTTTAATGCTTCCTTTTGCATCAGTAATGGTTTTCATTGTTTTTTGTGATCTAATAGCAGATGCTGTAGGGCTTACATTGAAATATTTTTTTTAATTGGTAAAATATAGGTCAAATTTATCACCCTCAGTTTTATTCTTCAAGCAGTGCTGGAGATTCAACCCAGAGCCTTGAGCATCCTAGCCAAATGCTCCACCCTCAGTCCACCCATTGTAACTGCTTTCTGTGCCCTGCTCGTAAATGAATGTCGTGTAGCCGTCCCCACCATCCACCTCCAGCACTTTCCCATTTTCCTAAATGGAAACTCTGTCCCCAGGAAACACTGTCATTCCTGCACCCACCAGTCCACTTCTTGTCTCTGACTTTTCCTGTCCAGAGCCCACACTGTGTGTCTTCTGCATCTCTCACTGAGCACGGGGTCCTCAAAGTCCCTACACACTGCAGCAAGTGTCACAGCCTTGCTGCTTTTGGTGCCTGAGGGATGTTCCAGTGCATGGTGGACCACGCTGTGTGTGTCCACTGATGCACATTTGGGTTGCTTCCACATGTGGCTTTTGTGAACATGGGTGTACAAATACCTGTTCAAATCTCTCCTTTCAAGCTGGGCATGGTGGTGTGTGCTTGTAATGCTAGCACTTGGGAGGCTGAGGCAGGAGGATCATTGCGAATTCAAGGCCAGTCAGGACTACATAGTGAGAACTGGTTTTGCACACCTCGGCTGCCAAAAAGCAAGCAAATCCCTCCTTTCAGTTCCTCACGCCTATTTCCAGAAGCAGAATTACTACCTCATACAGCTCCACATCTTAACCTATTGGCCTTCAAATTTACTGTAACAAATCCAGGGAGATAGGGAAATACGATTGCTCCATAGCTTTATTTACACTTACCCCTTTTTGTGATTTTTTTTTGTTTGTTTGTTTTTGTTTTTTGTTTTTTGTTTTTTGCCGGTACCGGGAACCGAACTCACGACCTTGCGCTTGCCAGGCAGGCGCTGTGCCACTGAGCTAAATCCCCAGCCCCCCCTTTTTGTGATTTTTAAATTTAATTTTTTTGATAGGGTTCTCACATCGTTGCTCGGACTCAAGCAATCCTGCTGCCTTGGCCTCCCCAGTAGCTGGCTCTAGTACCACATACCTGGTTAAATCTATTATATATTCAGATGACTTTTGTATGTGTCATGAATCCAGTAACACTTTGTCTCTCTCTCTTTTTTTTTTTTTTTGTACCAGGAATCAAACTCAGGACCTTAGCTTGCCAGGCAGGCACTTGTGCCGCTGTGCTATATCCGTAGCCCCTACACTTTGCCATAGTTACTAGATTATTTAACCAGTGTGGAGCAGGCCTGTAATCTCAGCATTTGGGAAGTTGAGCCAGTAGGATGGATGCAGGTTTGAGGACAGCCTGGGTTACATAGTGAGTTCAAGACCAGCCTGACCTATGACTCGAGGCCCTGTCTCAAAAAACAAAAAAAAGTTTATTAAAGCCTGGCTGGTTCTTTTCAAGAAGGGTAGGACTCCTCTATCTTCCCTTTATCTCAGTTCTGGCGCCTACAATGTCCATACCCCGTAGTTCTTGTCTGCCTCTCTCAGTGGGCCCAAAACCCTTGAACCACACTTTTCACAAACACTAGGTGCTCCATAAATATTTGCTTAGATCTGTGCTATTGCGTAGATTACAGAGCATGCACCTGAGGCTCCGAAACAGCAGCGACACGTGCAGTTTTTGGGAGGGCCAGTCTAACCTAGACGGGATTCCCTTCGAGGCCCGCTGCCTGTACTTTGCCCTCCCGACAGTAGGGGGCGCGCGCCTTCTGGAGGAAGACGGAAGTGCACACATGGTTGAGGGGCCGTACTCGCAGACGGCCTTGTGATAACTGCGCAGGCGCGAAGAGGGCGGTCTTTTCCGAAGACCTGGCAAGATGGTGAGTGTTGAGTGTTGGAGGTTCTGTGGCAGGCCTATCCGGCGCCATCCGAACTCCAGCCGTCCTGCGGGGGGCCGGGGTTGGTACCCACAGTTGTGGCGCTCTGCTTCAAACCTCCGAGGCCACGGATGGGGCCCGTGGGGTCGGCCTGGTGGTTCTTGGGACCACCCAGGACGGGGAAGGCCTATTGGACCCGACAGTCCCCGCCGAGTCCTCGTAACTGAAGTCGCATGTGCTTCCGTGGGGACGGCCTGGGGCTAGTGTGGCCGTGCGGGCTTCCGTGGGGCTGCCCGCGGTGGGTCTCCAGCTCCCACTCACTAGCGACCCGCGCTCGTGCAGGCGGAAGTGGAGCAGAAGAAGAAGCGAACCTTCCGCAAGTTTACGTACCGCGGCGTGGACCTCGACCAGCTGCTGGACATGTCCTAGTAAGGGGCCCGGCGGGGAGACGAGGGGCGGGAGCAGGAGAGGGTCGCGTCTGGGTTAAGGTGGAGCTGGGTGTGATGGCAGCTGTGGAAGTGGGCGCCCGGAGACGGGCCCGCAGTGCCCTTGGGCCAGGCTGGCCGGCTGGCCTGTTTGCGATAGCGGGGATTGAACCCAGGCCCTTCGCACTGAATTAAGTTCCTAGTTCTTTTCTTATTTTTCTTTTTTATTTTTGAGACACTCGCTAAGTCACTGAGTTGCCCAGGCTGGGCGCAAACTGGAGATCCACCCTGCTCACATTTTCTGTGAAGGAACCCGCTGCTAATATTGTCTGCATTTTGTCAGTTTCTGCTGAGGGGCAAAGGCAGTAGTCCTGGCCAGTCTGTGTGCAGGTTAAATTGTTAGGAACATTGGAGCTTTTATTTAATTTGGACGCCGTTTGCGTTGGGACTTTATCTACTTGGGAATGCAGACAGCACGGGTAGCCCAGGTGTGTTACGAAAACAGGCAAGGAGAGGTGGCTTGTGCAAGTACAGGTGGGTCTGTGGCCCTAGCGCCTGGATGGAGGAGGGGGAGGAGGGTGACCTGGTGTCACTGGAGAGCGAGCAGGCATAAAGGATCCGGCTACCTGGGGCGCCCCCCACCCCGGCACTGGGGATGGAACCCAGGGCCTTTGCACTGAGGTACATCCTCAACCTTCGTATTTTGGCTTCAGGCGAAATTTTGCTAAGTTGCCCAAGTAGGGCTCCAACTCATACTCCTGCCAGATCCTCCCAGAGTGCTAGGATCCCAGGTGTGTGCCACCACATCTACTTGTCAGGGGCTTTTTTTTTTTTTTGGTACCGGCAATCAAACTCAGAACCTTGCACTTGGCAGGCGGGCGCTGTGCCACTGAGCTATATCCCTGGCTCCTATCTGGAGCTCTTAACAGGCTGCTGACTGATTGTGGGCCTTCTAGATTCTTGGGGAGGGGTGAGCCTAGGGCCTTGTACATGCCAAGGGCACACTACCACTTAAGTGCACCCAGCCCGGTTAATATTTCAGGCAGGCGTTAAGCTCATAATGTAGTATAGGCTTCCTCCTGCCTCAGCCCCCTGAGTGCTGGGGTTACAGGTAGGTGTCACCAAACCTGACTTCCTGGATCCTTTGGAGGACATTGGCCTGAGGTTGCAACTTCCAAGCCGCCACATTGGAGACTTGAGTATCCCCAGTCTGTTTGGTGCTTTCTAAACTGCCTCGTGGTAGTTCCTAAGTGCCAGGAAGAGCTAGTGCTGGGCAGGGGTGTCCCTATGTTGCTGGTGTGGGCCTGTGTACAGCGGTTGGTACACTGTAGGGAGCGGTGCCAAGACCAGTGAGGTGTCGGCTGTGTCCCTGGGAAGACCGCTTCCCAGTTCTCTATGCCATGGGTGTTGGGGGGCCTCTGATCACGCATGCAGTCTACCTTGCCTGTCCCCAGCGAACAGCTGATGCAGCTCTACAGTGCAAGGCAGCGGCGGCGGCTGAACCGAGGCTTGCGGCGGAAGCAGCACTCGCTGCTGAAGCGCCTGCGCAAGGCCAAAAAGGAGGCACCCCCCATGGAGAAGCCCGAAGTGGTGAAGACACACCTTCGGGACATGATCATCCTGCCCGAGATGGTGGGCAGCATGGTGGGCGTCTACAATGGCAAGACCTTCAACCAGGTGGAGATCAAGGTATGTGTGGGGCTGGGGCTGGGGCTGGGGCTGGGGCATGGATGGGTGGGCGGGCACCGTCTGGGACAGTCCCTGATGCCAGCCTGTCTTGACCTCTGCAGCCTGAGATGATCGGCCACTACCTGGGCGAGTTCTCCATCACCTACAAGCCTGTGAAGCACGGCCGGCCTGGCATTGGGGCCACCCACTCTTCACGCTTCATCCCCCTCAAGTAGCCACCTGGCCAATAAAGCCACCACTGCCCCCAGTCTCGTGTGAGGCCTGTCCTGCATGTCAGCTCCGGGAGGGGTCTGGGTCACGGTCCTAGCAATAGGACTCAGGGTGGACATCGGGGGTCATGACTGGGCAGCCCGCAGCCCTGGGTTTCAGCGCTCACACCTGACAGCTATACTCACCATGGCTGGCTTTGGTCACCCCTCAGGACCTACAAGAGAGAGTGGAGGGGGATTGAGCCTGAAGCACTGCTCCCTCACCCACGTCCCTGCGCTGGGGCTCTTACTCCCTGTCCTCTGGGTGGGGTTGTGAAGATGAAGCAGGTAGGGTGAACAGCAGGGCCCATCTGCTAGCTCCAGGGAGCTTGCATCCCATATACGCACCTGTCACCTGTCTGGGGCCTCAGGACAGTCTTCATGGAGTCTGCTGTGGTCCACTTGCCCACACCATGGTCAGGACCTGGAGTTGGACCTTCAATTTCCTTGGTCAGAGAAAGTTCCAGGGGGCAGGGTCACACTAAGCTCTCCAACGTACTCGAGACGTTGTCTTTTTTGTAGGGTGAGGTACAGGTGGGCTGTGGGAGTGAGGCCTCTAGAGTCAGCCAGAGCTTCGTGGGCAGCAGTGGGTTTCCTGATGGGCAGTGAGGAAACAGGGTGCCCAGGCTGTGGGCTGGGGGTGGAAGAGCGGACGGATGCTGCTTTTGATCTGAATGTTGGGTGGAGCAGCCTAGGTGGGCGGAGTTCCTGTTCACCCCAGTGTCGCCAGTCCCCCAGCTCTGTAGTGTCAGCTTCAGCAGCATTTGCTCGTGCTGTCCTCTTGATTTGGAATCAAGAATTAAAGACGGAGGGTAACTGGGTTGTTTCTAATCCCTCCCTGGGAGGAGTTAGTACTGCAGAGGAAAGACTGCCTAAGGCCAGACCTGTGACCTCAGCAGTTTAGGAGGCTGAGGAAGGAGGATCTCGGATTTGAGTTCTGCCTGGACAATACAGCAAGACGAAGTAAAAAGGACTGGGGATACAGTTCAGTGCATGGCCCTGGGTTCAGTTCACAGTTCTGTGCCCGCTACCCCCCAAAAGAGTGAAAGTGTAAAAGATAGGCTTGAGCTGGGAGTATCTGTCCTGCCCACGGGGTCAAGGCAGATGTCCTTGGGCTCAATCATGGGCAGCAGCTGTAGTGTGGTGTGGGAGTGGGTGTTAGCGCCCCCAGGCTGGGCAGTGGGGCTTGGGCTCTGTAAAGCCCTATGAAGTTACAGGTGCCTGCTGAAGTGTGTGGCTGCACTGGCCAGGGTCCTTCGTGTAGAGCAGCAGAGCCTTGGTGACCCACCTTTGCATGCTTGGCTATGACCAGCAAAAAAAAAAAAAAGCAGTGCTTTAGGCTGCACTGGACACTGTCCTGCCTATAGCACTGCAAATTCCCATGGGAGGCTTCTGTGTCCCGGGCTGCTCCAGGCTACAAGTGGCCTTTCAGGCCTGCACTGGGAGCATTGCAGCTGGTCACCGCTTGTCCCTCTGTGGTGCTTGATGACAACAAGGAGTCATTCATGACTGGGAAAAGAATCCGCAATCTAAGTACAGAACATTGTGTTGGGAATGGTTTGTCCTGGGCTCCGTTTGTGCCAGCCTCCATGTTACCCTCATTCCAGGAGCACATTGGGGTGTCAGGAAAGAACAGAGTCACTGTGCTGCCTGGCTCCCTCCTGACTGCAGGCCCAGGCCTCTGGTCACATTCACACCTTTGGTCCATCCTGCTTCCCCACTGGGAGCCTGAGTGGATATCCCCTCAAGTCTGCAGTTCCCGTCCTCAGCGTCTCAGCAGACCTCGCCTAGGCTCAGGCTTTGACTCCTGCCTGTCAGTTGCCTCCAGATCCAGTCCTGGGTCCCACTGTATGAAGTTAAACTACTCACAGGATAGAGGTCTCTGCTACTCAGAGTGTCTCAGTACTGCTCATCTGGATGAACATACTTCACACCTGGCTAGGAAACTGGGCAAACTTAAAAATTGGCTATGAAGAGAGAACTCACCCTTCCCGTCCCACCTGGCCCAGAGTTCTCATTCAGTCGCAGGACCCCTCGCCCTGCTCCTCCCGTTCCTGAAGTGCCCTAACCTGGTCCCTGCCTCCCTCACTTCGGGTTCAGCCCTGTCCTCACCTTTCCTGCAAAGGCAGTACGTACCTTCTCGTTCGTGGCTTTCCTGACTTGGCATGGTGGAGAGTGACACACCCTCTGTGGCCCGCTTCCTGCCTGGCATCTTACGCAGCAACCTTTCCCAGCCCCTCTGCAGTGTACCTATGGTATCTGGCCCTGGGCCTGCACAGTCCCCTGGTCAGGCGCCCCCAACAGCCAACAAGGCACTGCTGCGGTCTGCCCATAGAGCTCCATTCAAAGCCCAAGTCCTGAGCCGCGACATAGCTTGTTGGTAAAATATTATGAAACAACCGGTGTACTGGTGCACTCCTGTAAGTATAGCGCTCTGGGACGCTGAGGCAGGAGGATCATAAGTTCCAGCCCATTCTGGACAATTTAGGAAGACCCTGTTTCAAGCACTGGGACGGTAGCTCACAGAGCAAAAGCCCTGGGTTCAATCTCCAGTATTGCTCCCCACCCGACCCAGAAAGAGCTCAAGCCCTCCCTGCGGCCGTCGGCCCTAGTGATCTGCCCGGTGCCTTCGCACAACTCTGCAAGCCTCTTCTGGTCGCTCAAGCCCAGACCCGACAGCTGCATTCAAGTGCCTTCCCAGAGCCTCCAGGCCACCCGCCGGGCCCCAGCCTTTCCTACTTAGCTCCTCGTGGTCCATCATGTTGTCCTCTTGTTTATGTGTTTCCCAAGGGCAGAGTCTTCCCCAGCTTGTTCACTGTGCAGGGACCCGCACACAGTTGCTTAGTACATGGTTAAATGACTATCAGTGGTGACACTCCCATCTGAGCGCGGCACATAAGTGGGTGCACAGCAAATGTTTGCTGAGTGACTAATGAATTAGAGCGCTCAGATGGATTCCAGAGGCACCCAAGCTTCTGCCCGGGCTGTGACTGTCCACGAGTGCAGCACACCACACCTGGGCAGCGCCTTTCTCTGTCCCTCTAAGACCGATCTGCCAGGCCGCTCTTCCTCCCGCTCCACACCCCTTGCCAACTCCGGAGTGTGCCCCAGCCCCAGGGGAATCCTGCGCCTTGCTGTCCGCACACATGGCCTCGACCGCTCTTTCACTCTCAGGACCTCGTGCTACTCCACCCGGGAGAGGCCCCCCCCCGCCGGTTCCCCCGAGACCTATTACTTCACCCCTTTCCCGGAAGAACCCCACCCCGGCCCCACCGAGTGACCCCTCCCCGCCCAGCCTCCGCGCATGCGCAGGGCGCCCGGGCCGCGGCCCCCCACCCCCACTCCGCGGCCGAGGGGCGGGGCGCGCGCTGTGCGAGGCGGCGGCTCCATGGGGCTCCTGGGGCTCCTGAGCCTGCTGCACTCGGCCTTCTTCGGGGACCAGGTAGGAAGTGGGGGTCCTGGTGGGGGACGAAGGTCTGGTCCCAAGAGAGGCAGACTGGGTGGGGTCCACGCCGTGGGAATAGCGGCCCCGGCGACGCGGGGGTTAACAGCCCAGCGCGCTGAGACTTGAAGGGTCGGGGGTCTGGCTTAGTCTCCTTGGAGACGGTTGCCACGGAAAACGCCGCGGGATGTTCCGGGGCCGAGAGCCCCTCCTCTGCGCCGCAGCGACCCCCACCCCTTGGGTCTGCGCAAGCGCACTGTGTCGGCCCAGCCCTCGGCCTCGGAGCGAGACCCTTGAGCCTCTCCCCACGGTGGGGACGTGGACACGGGCACACTGAGGCGCATGGGGACTGCGGCGGGGTGCACGGTGCGGAGGTTCCGCCCTTTACAGGACGGGGGTGCTGGGCCACGCCCTGCACCTCTCTATTCCTCAGTTTCCCCTTCTGGGCACTTGCTTAGGGCCCACTTTGCCGTTCCCCAACGCTGACATTTCGTTATATCCATCCCACCCAGCCTGAGCACTTGGCCTGCCCCCTTGGCCGTTCTGAGTCCAGCGGTATAACACTCCTTATTGAGGGGAAACTGAGGCTGGGGATGCATCGAAAGCCCAAGGTGACCCGGCCTCGAGCAAGCCCAGAGCTTGTGCGCTGGACGGGCAGCTCTGGAAAAGACGCAGGCTGGGACCTGGGAGCTGTCCGTGGTGCTGATGGGGGCCGCGCTGCCCCTTCCCGGCTGGAAAAACTGAGGCCCACCACCGTGGTGCCCTGCAGTGGCAGCCCCTCCCCGCCGGTTAAGGCTCTGCCCCGTCATCCAGCCTGCGGCATCCCTGCGTTTGCGTCATGACCTGGTGTCTTTGAGCCTCACTTTACCCCATAGTCTGTGCCAAGGGGGGCAGCCTATTTTACCCCCAGCCCTGGGGATCAGTGGAGAATCAGGGAGGCAGACCGGGCACCAAGGAGACAGGGACAGCCTGGGGCCCGACAGGAGGTCCAGTGATACTCATGAGTAACGCTTGCAGGCTGGAGCTGGGGGCTCCTCTGCTGGGGTGGGAAGAAGCCAGCTAAGAGGTGGGAATTCTAAGGCATCGCAGGGAGAGGGCCTCAGAAGGGCCACCATGTGAGGCAGTGGCAGATCCTCTCTCATGTCCTGGAAGCTGGGTCTAGGGTCCTTGGGGATCTTAGGTCTTTCTTGTGCTTCTGAAGTGTCCAGTGATGCCCAAGCCTGACGGTGGCTCAGAATTCAATGTCAAAAATTTGGGGGGGGGCGATATCAGGGATGTTCTAAGTGGAGCCAAGGGCACCTTGCCTTGGGGTCTCAACTGCCATGTTCCCCCAGCCTGAGGACCATCAGTCCTCCAGGCACACACAGAGGAAGGAGGGAAGGAGGCCGAGCGACCCAGGAACAGCAGAAACGTTCTTCCTTGTCCTGACTCTGTTTCCCCATGTGTACCAGGGTGGGACTGGCCATTGGACACCCTCCCCTCAAAATCTGCCACTGAGAGAGCCCGGGGGAGCTGTGACATTGAGACAGCAGAGGAAATGGGACTTAGTCCATGTGAGGGAGGCAGGAGTTGATTGACCCACCACCCAGTGAACACAACTGGAAATGGAGGCCAGAGAGATAAGGCCAAGGTCACATACAGAGATGAGACAGAGCTGAGACAGGGCCCCTATTCCACGTCCCTGCCCAACGCCAGCATTGTCCAGATCCTGCCTGGGTTCTTGTGATTGTCCCCAGGGGGACGATCTCTCTGCCATCTCCCCACCCACAGTACTGTGGGGCTTGACCCCAAAGTCTTCACACTTAGCTCCATCTTCATCCCTTTTGTATATTTTTGTGTATTGAGACAGGGTCTTGCTAAGTTGCCAGGTCGTTCAGGCTGGGGTAGAACTTGTAATCCTCCTGCCTCAGCCTCCCAGAATGCTGGTATTCCAGGCATGCAGCATCATGCCAGCATCTATCCCACTTGGTGGCTTGCCCTGGCCATGCCCTCTACCCAGCCACCCCAGGGCTCCACAGACACCCATCTCCTGAGCGCTCTCTGATTTTCCCTCAGCCTCAAGCTCTTGTCCCTTCTGGTCCTTGTCCTCTCTCACAGTGATGTCTGGCTCTGGAGGCTCCCAGATGGTGCGGCCCAAGTCCTCACGGACCCTGACATTGCTGGCATAGGTACCTAGAGCATACTTTCCCCTCTGCACTAGATTGCTTTGGCCTCCACAGAGCCTTCCTGCTTTGCCCAAGCAGCCTCCCCACCCCCATTTTACAGATAGGAAAATGAGGGGTGAGAGGCAATGATTCTCTCTGGGCCCCTGCTGTTAAACATCAGGCAGTGTCTTCCCACAGGGTGCACCTGCTCTGTCCTGTAACATGTGTCGGCAGCAGGGGGAACTGAGCTCTGGGAGTTAAACCCTCAAGTGGTCTCTGGGGACCCATTGGGGACCAGGAACAGCTGGGGATACACTCCTGGGACCACTGGGCCTTCCTGCCTCTGGCTCCCCATCTCTGAGGGTGGATTTAGTGTGGGGGAGTGGCAGAGACAAGGAGCTAGAATGCGAGAGACAGGAACCGAGAGGAGAGAGAGATGTGAGGAGGGACAGGCTGAGATATCAGGTGGAGGGTGTGATACTCAGGCGATAAGACAAGGAAAAAGGAGGAGGGGTCCCCAGGTGTTCCCTGGCGTGCCTACCCATCTCCCTAACACACCCCCTAGCTCTGTTCTGCCATAATACATCCACACAAGCTGGGCTGGACTGGCAAGGAGACTGCTGGCCTGGCTGCTGCCTGCCTCTGCCCTGGGAAACCCCCCTCCCCCGCCCTCAGGATTCTGATGTAATATCCAAGATTTGGTGTTTTACTGGAATTATGCGAATCCAGTCACAGGAGGTTTCAGAGGCCATTTTACCCTGCAATTGGGATGGAGGACACGGGGTCTTGATCTTCCTGCCGTCCCCCTTCTTTAGGAGAGGTTCATTTACCTTTCCCCACACACACACACACACACATCCCGCTCCCGCACCCAAAACCCCTGAGCGAGAGCTGAGGCCTGACGCCACACTGTCACCGCTGGTCCCCGCCCCGGGCCGCCATTGGCTGTTACCATGGTATCAGCCCGTCTTCCTGTGCCGCCATTGGCCTCCGCGCCTGCATCCCGCATCCCGCATCCTCCCCCGCTCTCGGTGGTCTCGCCCAGCGCCAAGAGAGGCGGTGCCGCTTGGCCAGGCCCGGATCGGGCTTTGTCCATGCCGGAGCCCCTTGCCCACACCACCGAAACCCCGGAGCTCTGGAGGACCCACCGGGGCTGGGATTTCAGGTTGGGCCCGCAGAGCTGCTTGGAGGGAGGAGACCCCAGGCGCTCCCCCACACCCCGTCCCAGCCAGCTCAGCTGAAAGTAAGTGGATGCACGTTCCCTGGGTGAAGGGCAGCGTCGGGCCTCCATCCTCTTTTTTCTGCCTCATCTGTCAGCATGGACTCTGTTCCTCCAAGCTGGTAGCTAGAAGGGAAACTGAGCCCCGAAAGAAGGTGGGTGTCTGTGTCACTGCTGCCAGCCCCAGGCACACACCCACTCGTGAGTTTCATTACGTCTCTCAGAAACGAGGAGGCGAAGGCTGGGCAAGTGAGTCTGTGTGTAGATGCTGTGTGTCCTGGGAGTCATGGCACCTTCTGGGGCACCACTTTCCCTCTCTGTAAAGAGGGGATTTGGGTTAAAAGAAGGAGATGGGCCTGCTTGGGCCTGGCTTTCCACACCCGTGCTTCTCTCCTGTGAAGGTGTCCCCTCAGATTCAGCCACACCTCCTCCAAGTTATTGGTATTTTTCCTTTGCTGACTTCTCAGGGAGGCCTGCTGGGGCTGAGGGGCAGTCAGGAGGGCTTCCTGGAGGAAATCGTAGGGTGTGGGGTGGCAGAAGTCAGGAAAAGTGCTGTAGGCTGGATGTTCGAAGGCCTGACAGAAGACAGCAGCTAGTTTCCTGGTGAGTCCTTGTATGTGGAGGAATCAGGTCTCATCCTGGGGGCACTAGGGAGCCATGGGAGGTATTTGAACCCAAGAGGATCTGATTTGTAACTTTCAAATCTCCTTCTGACTGTGCAGGAAGAGTATATTGTGGGGGCCCAGGAAATGACTGGCCAGAGTACTCTGGTGAGATGGGGTGCTGGGATGGAGGAGAAGCTGGTGGCAGTGTTGAGCTGGGGATGCTGGGATGGAGTGAGGAGGAACCTCGGCACCAGACTCCCTCTCATGGGGACACAAGAACGGCCACCAAACATGAGGAGGGACATGGCCACCCCTGGTCAGGATCCCTGAGGGAGAGGGTCTGCATGTGATCCCCTGCTGCAGGCCTGATCCACAGCTGCGGCCCCAATTGAGTATCAGCATGATTAGCACTGGCGTGAAGGCTATGGTCACCAGGCTGCCAGCCGCCCCCGCCTGGCTGCTCTGCCCTGTGGCCCTGCCACCACAGCTCCCATCAGCCTTTGAGACCGGGTGGGCAGGCGGGTTGTCCCTGTCTCTGATATGGAGAGTGAGAGGTTCTTGTCGCGCTCCTGGCACTGTGTGGACCTCTGAGCACCTCTGGGGGCAGTCTGGGTTCCAGTCATGCCTGATCCACTCACTGAGTGAGCCTGTTCCTCCGGGGCCTCAGTTTCTCCCCTTGGAAACAGCCTAATGATGGTCCCCGAGACGTAGGCCTGTGACATGGAAGAAGGCAAAGGACAAGCAGGTGGGGATGGCCTGATCCCTTCCCCTACTCCACCTCCAGTCCCCCGTGTGCTCTGGGAAACACCAGGGTCGGAGGACGCTTCTGGAGTGAGAGCAGAGAAGGAATGAATGAGCAGGTGAATGAATGAGTGCGGCTGGGGGAGGAGCAAGTGCCCTGGGGGGCAGGGCTGATTTGGGGAGGGGGCTCCCGGGGAGGAGGTGGCAGAGGAAAGGGCTGGCTGCCATTGGTGCGCCTCAAACAAAGGCGGAGGGAGGGGGTGAGCGCTCATGGGAAGGGAACAAAGAGGGAAGGGGCTCGCTGGGGGGAGCGGGGTGGCTGTGGTGTGCAGGCCAAGCTGAGGGAGAGGCGCAGACCAGCTGGACAGAGAGAGGAGCCTGGACCCCAGTGAGAAAACACAGCCAGCGGCGGTGGTGGGGACGAGGGGGTGGGGCAGGGACACCAGGATAGGGGAGGCTAGCCAAGCCCGACCAGAGGCTGTGCCCCCAGCCACTGGACGGGGCCACGGGGCTGCAGGGGACCCAGGTCCGCCTCCTGGGGTGGTCATGGTGGGCTTGGGTCTGTCTCGCACTGCCTGGCTACAAGGGGCTCCCTGTCATCTGCCCAAGGCTTTGCTTTCTGAGGCATCGAGCAAGGTTTTTGCAGTGTTCTTTTTGTCTTCACATGGGCTAGCTGGTCATGTGTCCACCTGGCCTCTCTGGCCATCAGCCTCTGGGCAAGGTCTTTGTCTGTCCGTCTGTCTGTGGCCCTCAGTGCATGTGAGTGTGACTGTGAGCCTGCTGGCCTCAGCTTGCCAGTCCATCCCTGATTTAAGCTGTAAGGGTCTCAGATCTCTGTCTGCCTGAATGTCACACAGGTGCCCAGGAAGCCAGCAGCAACAGGCCTGTCTTCCACGCAGTTAGGGATTCTGTATCTGAACACTGGCGTAATGGTCCTGCCCCTCTCTCTTGGATTGTCACCATGCATGTCTGTCACTCCATCTGCCTCACTGTCTGTCTCTCCGATTCCCTGGGCAATGCCTGGGATGGTCTGTGCTGTGTGCTGCTGCCTGGCACGTAGGGGGCACTGGAGCTGAGGTCCGGGCTGCCGGCTGCCCCCTCCCAGACCTCGGACCGAAGGCTCTGACCCTGTGACCCCAGGCGCTGCAGGAGCTGAAGATGACGAGCTCGGTGGCCTCCTACGAGCAGCTGGTGCGGCAGGTGGAGGCCTTAAAGGCTGAGAACAGTCACCTGAGGCAGGAGCTTCAGGACAACTCGAGCCACCTGTCCAAGTTGGAGAGCGAGACCTCGGGGATGAAGGTGCGGGGTGCAGATGATGGAGGACATGTGGGACGGATCACAGGGGACCGTGAACCCCAGAGGAGGGCAGGAAGGATCCCAGGCAGGTGACTGGGAGCGGTGGCAATGGCCACAGCTCTGTGTCCTTCCCGGCCCACAGGAGGTCCTGAAGCACCTGCAGGGCAAGCTGGAGCAGGAGGCCCGCATGTTGGTGTCGTCGGGGCAGACAGAGGTGCTGGAGCAACTGAAAGGTGAGAGGCCGCCTCCGAGGGAGCTCGGAGCAGGAGGGCAGGCCAGGGGGCTGACCTTCACTCTCCCGCCCACCCAGCGCTCCAGATGGACATCACCAGTTTATACAACCTCAAGTTCCAGCCACCTGTCCTGGGCCCCGAGCCGGCTGCCCGAACCCCTGAGGGAAGCCCAGTCCATGGCTCCGGGCCCTCCAAGGACAGCTTTGGGGAGCTGAGCCGGGCCACCATACGGCTTCTAGAGGAACTGGACCGTGAACGGTGAGGGGGCGTGGGAAACAGACCCGGGAGGCCGCTCTGTAGCTCCGCCCCAGCCAGACTCTGCCCCCAGCAGTCCCTGCCAATGAGCCGACCACTCGCGTGTGGCCCCGCCCCCGAGCAGGCCCCGCCCCCTTCGGTGTAGTTCCTCTGCCCCTCTCCAGGCTATGCTGACTTTAGCCGGAGGACAAGGAGGGTGAGGGGCGTTTCTGGCAGGGGCAAAGGTTCCTGGGAGATGTCCTCAGGGGGGCGCCCGATAGGCGGGCGTCGCCAGGGACAGGGCTGTGCCCGATGCCAGGGCTCAGAATCTGGCCCATCGCCGGAGAAACTCAAGGCAGCCTTTGTAAAGAGAGGGACACAGGGCGGGAAATCTGGGCCAACAGATTTCTGGCCAGCAGCAAGAGGCAGGGTCTGGGCCCGGCTCAGCTCAGCTGGGTTATGTGAGGTCAGAGGGAGAATTCAAGAGCAGCCTGGAGCTAAGGCTCTGTTCTGGTATGTGATCTCGATCAGGTCCCCCAACCCCTCCCAGCCTCAGATTTCCGTTCTGTAAAACAGGAACAGAAGGGCCGGGGGTATAGCTCAGCGGCACAGTGCCTGCCTGGCAAGCACGAGGTCGTGAGTTCGATTTCTGGTACAAAAGAAAAAAAGGGAACAGGGCTGTATGTGGCACACCTGTAACCCCAGCACTGTGGAAGCCTGAGGCAGGAGGATCACGAGTTCCAGCCTAACCTGGGCAATTCAGTGATTTAGTTAGCCTCTATCAAAATAAAAAAAAAATAAAAAGACTGGTGATACAGCTCAATCCAAAGGGCCCGGGTTAAATCCCCAGTACTAGTGGGGAGAAATGGAGTAGAGCTGTGAAAGGAGAGGGTTCTGTTGCACCTGGGGCACAACGAGCCTGAAGCCTACTCTTTATAAACCAGAACGAGATTAGCAAGCATTGGAGAGATTAGCAAACGTTGGTCCTTTCTCCAAGGACCAGAATTTACAAAAGAATTGTCTTCTTTCTTTTCCATTAAATTTCTGCACCCTCGTCAGTTAATTTCATCCCTCACCCTTACCCCAGTGTTGGGAGGACTAAGGGTGAGACATTACCACGCTTTTAATCTTGGTGCATGGCAAGCACTCGACAGGTGATTTTACAACCAAAATGAACACTACACGTGCAGAGCAGCCCTCTCTGCCGGGCTGTCCCCACTATCCTGCCCCCCCCCCCAGGTGCTTCCTGTTGAGCGAGATCGAGAAGGAGGAGAAAGAGAAGCTCTGGTATTACTCCCAGCTGCAGGGCCTGTCCAAGCGCCTGGATGAGCTGCCGCACGTGGAGACGGTGAGCGCGCGGGGCTGCCCGTCCTGCCAGGGAGGGGAGCACCAGGGAGGATCTGGGCGCCCCTCACCGCAGCCCGCCCGCCCTTCCCAGCAGTTCTCTATGCAGATGGACCTGATCCGGCAGCAGCTGGAATTCGAGGCCCAGCACATCCGCTCGCTGATGGAGGAGCGTTTTGGCACCTCGGACGAGATGGTGCAGCGTGCACAGGTGCAGCGCGGGGCATGGCTGAGGCGGGGCCATCTGCGGTGGGCGAATCAGAACGGAGCTCGTTGTGGGCGGAGCCTCGCTTTAGTTGGAGCCTCGCTTTAGTCAGGGCCTCACTCACATGGGCTGAGTCTCAAGCTAGGGGCGACTTCTAAGGGCGATTTCTGAGGGTCCAGTCTGGCTCAGCAGGTGCAGTCAGAGCCCAGCTTCTTACCAGGAAGAAGGCAGATTTAGAGCCAGGGGCTGGGACACACACCAGAAAGAAGTTGGGGGCGGGGCCAGGCCCTCCACCCAGGTCACAGCAAGTTTCTCCCGCGCAGATCCGAGCTTCGCGCCTGGAGCAAATTGACAAGGAGCTGCTGGAGGCGCAGGACCGGGTTCAACAGACTGAACCCCAGGTACCAGAGGCTGTGCCAGGGGCCCAGGGGGTAGTGACGGGCTCCAGGCAACGCAGGGAACCCCGACCTGCAAAGGATACAAGAATGGGCATGCAGGCCGGGCGTGGTGGTTTACGCCTGTAATCCCGGCACTTGGGAGGCTAAGGCAGGAGGATTGTTGCGAGTTCGAGACCAGCCTGGGCTACAAAGTGAGCTCAAGGCCAGCGTGAACTGCATGGTGAAACCATGTGTGTGTGTGTCAAAAAGACACACACACACACACAAAATGGTGGGCAGACCCACCCGCTCCTTCAGAGGGGAGCAGTCGGCATCCACGTGAGGGGCTGCGCCCAGACTGAGGCCCCAGGCCTGCCACTTTCCCTGCAGGCTCTACTGGCGGTAAAGTCGGTGCCAGTGGAGGAGGAACCAGAGGCGGAGATTCCCACGCACCCTGAAGATGGTACCCCACAGCCGGGGAACAGCAAGGTGAGGGAGGGAAGCCAGTGGGGTTGGGTTGAGGGGGACCTAGCATCCCTGCTGGATGTGGAACTTGATTGATTGATTGATTGTACTAGCGATTCAACCCAAGGCCTTTGCACTGAGGTACACCCCCAACCTTTTATTTATTCATTTATCCTGCACATTTATTATTATTGCACAGGCTGGGCTCAAATTTACGATCCTCCTGCCTCAGCCTACAAGAGTGCTAGGATTCTAGGAGTGTGCCTCCACACTGGGCACCCCCTGCTTCCATTGACTCCTTCCCCGTCTCCCATCCCTTTCATGTAGCAGAGCTGCCCAGGAGTGGAGGACACCCCTAGTTTGAGGGAGGTGAGGGGGTGGGATTCCCTCTCTGACCCTCTCTCTCTTCCCCTGTAGGTGGAGGTGGTCTTCTGGCTGCTGTCCATGCTGGCGACGCGAGACCAGGAGGACACGGCCCGCACGCTGTTGGCCATGTCCAGCTCTCCTGAGAGCTGTGTGGCCATGCGCCGCTCTGGCTGCCTGCCGCTGCTGTTACAGATCCTCCACGGCGCCGAGGCGGGGGCGGGGCGTCGCACCGGAAACCCGGCAGCCCCCGGAGCTAAGGACGCACGCATGCGGGCCAACGCTGCGCTGCACAACATCGTCTTCTCGCAGCCCGACCAGGGCCTGGCTCGCAAGGAGATGCGCGTCCTGCACGTGCTGGAGCAGATCCGAGCCTACTGCGAGACCTGCTGGGACTGGCTGCAGGCGCACGACAGCGGGCCCGAGGCGGGCGGCGCCAGTGGCAGTGAGTACAGGCACCCGGGTTGGGGGCACCGTGCAGTGTGTCATTAATAACCCGATCGGTGCTGCCCGTGTACCCCTCTGTGTGGTGCTCTGTCTGAAACCTTGTGGAAGCCAGGTACCAGTGTGACAAAGAAATACACAGCTGGAGCCACCAGCTGTGTTTGTACCTGGCAGCCCAGGAAAGATTTTTATTTTTTGTTTTTTGAGACAGAGTCTCACTATGGGGTTCAGGCTGGCCTGGAACTCACTATGTACCCCAGGCTGGCCTCAAACGTGTGATGATCCTCCTGCCTCACCTCCCGAATGCTAGGATGATAGGCGTATGCTGCCATGCCCCGCCTGCAAAGTTAATACAGGGCACAGGCTGAGAGGTGCCCTGCACAGACCTCCTGCACAGGCAGCCTCTTTCTTGCATTGGGGAGCCGTGCAGAAAGGGAGCCACTGCTTTGGGTATGCCCAGGACGCAGGCACTGGCATAGCTTACGGGATCCTTGCAGGCCCATGTGGTAGACGTGGTAGAGATGTGACTGTGGCCTTCTGGGGTCACCCTGGTGGGAGGGAGATTCTGACTTGGTCCCCTCTCCCACAGCTCCTGTCCCCATTGAGCCTCAGATCTGCCAGGCTACCTGCGCTGTGATGAAGCTCTCCTTTGACGAGGAATACCGCCGGGCCATGAACGAGCTTGGTGAGTGTCCCTTGCCTCCTCCAGGGAGCCCTCTTCAGCCCCACCACAGCCTTCGACAATGACAGCGTGGGGCAGAGCCTTGCTTATATGTGTTTGTTCACCACAGGTTGGGAAGTGAGGCCCAGAGCGGGACAGAGCCTCCCTGGGTCACGTCGCACCTGTTGAGGCCTTCTGTCCCTGCGAGTGGCACACGGCCTCTCAGCCCTCACCTTTTAGCCCCAGTCTCTGGCCTCACCCTGCTCAGAGCTACCTTTCAGCAGGAATTGTCCCTCAGCTCAGGGCAGGGAGTGGCTGGAGGCCAAGGATAAAGGTAGAAGATCTGATTTAGGACACAGAATGAGAACTGTCACAGGTTGGCCTCGTGGAGTAGTAGCTTTAGGGACTTCTGATGTCTTCTCTGTGAATATCAAAGTACTTGGTTGTCTGGGGGTATAGCTCAGTGGTGAGCACTGGCCCAGCAGAATGTGTAAAGCCCTGGGTTTCATCACCAGCAGTGCAAAAAAAGAAGAAAGGGCCTTCATAGCCTGTGCTGAAGTGGAGACCAAATTGGAACAGGTTTTTTGGAGAGGTGTTTGGCAACATCAGACACATGATGAGTGTGTGTACCCTTTGAAAGCATCCTTCCATTTACAAGGTGCAGAAAACCAAAGGCATCTACTAATTCAGATAAAACCAGAAAACTGGAAATAACATGAGACTTCAGTGGTGGGGGGGCGTCAGCTCTACAGTGACATATGATGTGATCTTTTCCATTCTGGCTAAGCCAATAGAGGCCACTGTGTCCCCTTGTGGCCTTAAACATTTGTATGATGTATATATCTTCCTTTTAGATTATAAAAGAGTGGTTTACAAAGTGGGGTCCCTGGAGGTTCCTGCGATCTTTTGAGGAGGTCCACAGGCCACAAGTGTTTTGATAGTAATTGGCGATGTGACTACTGTTTTCACTGTTCTCCTTGCGAAAGAATGTGTTCAATGGGGTTCTCCTGATGCTCCTCCTCTGAAAACCACTGGGCTGCATAACCTAGGGTTTGAAACTTTCTTTTAATTCCTTGTACCACAAACACTGAGGATTTATAAAATACATCATGAACTATTGATTTATTTTATTTTTAAATTTTTTTTATTTTTTCTGGTACCGGGAATCGAACTCACGACCTTGCGCTTGCCAGGCAGGCACTGTGCTGCTGAGCTATATCCCCAGCCCCCATGAACTATTTTTTTTTTTTTCTTTTTTTTTTGGTTTTTCTCCGGTACTGGGAACCGAACTCACGACCTTGCGCTTGCCAGGCAGGTGCTTTTGCCGCTGAGCTAAATCCCCAGCCCCCCCCATGAACTATTTAAAGTGTTCAAAAATTGTGTTTTTTTGAGACAGGGTCTTGCTATATAGTTCAGGCTGGCCTCAAACTCTCAGCAATCCTCCTGCCTCAACCTCCTGATTATATGCCTGGCTCAAAAAATTTTAAGGGTACACAGAATCCCTGAGACCAAAATGCCTTTTTTTTTAATCTTTTTTTTGAGATGCAGTCTCGCTATGCAGTTCAGACTGGGCTTGAGCTCACTTTGTAGCCCAGGCTGGCCTTGAACTTGCAATGATCCCCCTGCCTCCTCGAGTGTTGGTATTACAGATGTGCGCCACCACGCCCGGCTTGAGACCAAAATGCTTGTATGAGGCTTGGGTCGAGCAGTGGGAACCCACCCTCACAATCTTTTAGGACTCTGTGCAGGCAGCCAGTCCCCCCGGTAGTTGGATGTTTCTTAGTTCCACCAATACACTAAAGCCCACACTCGGTTCAGGGCTTATTTCCATATTATTCTCTGGGTACCCTCGAGTGGGATTTCAGATTAAGGTGCATAACAACTTTAGAAGCTTAAAAAAAAAAAAAAAGGTAAGCCGGGTGTGGTGGCGCACGCCTGTAATCCCAGCATTCGGGAGGCTGAGGCAGGAGGATTCTTGCAAGTTCATGACCAGCCTGGGCTACAAAGTGAGCTCAAGGCCAGCCTGAACTGCATGGTGAGACCCCGTCTCAAAAAGACAAAAAAAAAAAAAAGAAGCTTCCCTGACTCCTAATTCAAATTATATATATATATCTCTTCTTTTTTTAAGTTTTGGTAAGATAGATATAGTAGAAATGTATCACATTAGTTGTTAGTGTACAATCTACTGTAGTAAGTGCATTCCCATGGTCACACAGCTTTGCCCACATCTGTCTCTGGCACTTTCTCATCTTTCTAAACTGCACCTCTTGGGCCGGGGATATAGCACAGCACCTGTCTGGCAAGCACTAGGTCATGAGTTCAATTCCTGGTACCCCAAAAAAAACAAAAAACAAAAAAACCCAAAACAAAAGCTATGTCTTTGTCCCATAAGACACTGATTCCCGTCTCTGCCTCAGCCCCAGCACCCAAAATCCACTTCCTGTCTCTGGCTTCCCCTCTTCTGGGCATTTCCTGTCCATGGAGCCCACGCTATGAGTCTTCTGTGGCTGGAGTCCCTCACTGAGCACGTTGTCCTCAAGGTGCATACACACAGTGGCAAGTGACATAGCCTCTCTCCTTAGCCAAATAATGTCCCAGTGTGGGGAGGGACCTCACTGTGTGCGTTCTTCCTTCCATCCGTGGACACCTGGCTGTATCCGCCTTTTGTTGCTTATACACATGGGTGGACACATCTCATTGTAGGACTTTTTTTCTTTTTTCTTTTATCTTTTTAGTACTTGGAGTGGAAGCCAGGGCTTTGGCACTGAGCTACCTTCCCAGCCCTTATTTTTATCTTTTGAGACAGGGTCTTGCTAAATTGCCTAGGCTGAACTCAAACCTCTGATCCTCCTGCCTCAGCATCCCAGAGTGTTGGGTTTACAGGTGTATGCCACTATGCCTGGCTCATTGGGGGATTTTTTTGTTTTATTTTTTGAGAGAGGGTTTCTACTATGTAGTTCAGGCTGACCTTGAACTCACTGTGTAGTGGACGCTGGCTTTGAACTCACAGGCAATCCTTCTGCATCAGCTTCTGGCATCCTGGGATTACAATATGCACCACACCCGGCCCGGCTCTATCAGTCTGGAACTTGTTGATATACATTGCTAATGTACATCCCCAGACAGTGACTGCTCTCTCCCAAGGTTGAGCAGCGCTGCGCCTGTCACTTTCACTCAGCAGAGAAAGGGCTCTGGGTTTAGGTGCGAGTTTTTTCCTCCACCTTGGAAGGGCTGTCACCTGCCACTCCAGGCCCATTTACTCTTTTGTCAAACGAGAGATTGCTCTGCCTGGTGAGTGGAGACGAATGGGTGTGACAGTCATCTCTCTGCTGCTCCTGTCCCCTGCAGACCCGGTTCTGCAGATGCAGCTCAGTGTCTGATGGCCTTGGGGTGCGGGCTCCCCCAAGGAAGTGGACCAGGAGTGCAGGGAATGTTGTTGCCAGGCAAGACAGGGACGAGTGTTCAGGCGCAGGTGATGGCCTGGGGAAAGACCTGGCAGCAGGAGCAAGTGGGCATCCCAGCTGAGGATGGGGTGGGGAGGTGGGTACAGAGGTGGCAGGGCATGGGGCTGTCCTCCCAGAGGGGCACAGAGGTGGGGGCCGCAGGGCAGGGGGTGGGGCTGCCCACCGGCTCCAGCCTCCTTGGTCCCCACAGGTGGTCTGCAAGCGGTAGCGGAACTGCTGCAGGTGGACTATGAGATGCACAAGATGACCCGGGACCCCCTGAACCTTGCCCTGCGCCGCTACGCGGGCATGACCCTCACCAACCTCACCTTCGGGGACGTCGCCAACAAGGTGCCCAGAGGCAGTGGGTGCGGGGGTCTGGGCTGCCCCCTTTGGGGGCTCCAGGGACTGGAGCTAGCTTCCTTCCACGTCATCCCAACCTCAGAATGGCCCTGAGAAGTGGGACAGTCATTCCCGATTCATAGGTGGGTAGACTGAGGCCCAGAGACGGCTAGGAAGGGGCTGTGCTTGACTGGGACTCCAGCATGTGGGTCGGGAAAGAGGAGTGGTTGTCTGCCTTACCTGTGGCGCATGTGCTGTGAGCGTGACTGGCCTGTGGCCTCCCTACAGGCCACCCTCTGTGCCCGCCGGGGCTGCATGGAGGCCATTGTGGCCCAGCTGGCATCTGAGAGTGAAGAGCTCCACCAGGTACCCGGGGCAGGGTGCAGATAGCCTTACCTCTCCCAAGGGTCAGAGGCTTCCCCAGGACTGTGCCCAGCGGCCCCGGTCGCTTCAGTCATGGGGGTGGATGGGGCGTGAGGGTGCCACCTTGGGCCTGGAGGTGGATAAAGGGGGCGGTCTTGGGTCCCACCGTGTTGCAGACTCAGACACCTCCACATAGCCACGCCCACCTCCAGCCATGCTACTCAACCTAACCCCGCCCACAAACCTAACTACGCCCACCCGCCTTGGCTCTCCCCTGCCCCATCCCCGACCCGCCCATCCCCCTTGCCCCATGCCTCACCACACCCGACTCTGCCCACCCTAACCACATCATTGTCCCACCCACCACCAACACTTCCCGCCCGGACGCCCCCCCGCCCCTCAGGTGGTGTCCAGCATCCTGCGCAACCTGTCCTGGAGGGCAGACATCAACAGCAAGAAGGTGCTGAGGGAGGTCGGCAGCATGACGGCCCTGATGCAGTGCGTCCTGCGGGCTACCAAGGTGGGCACCAGGGAAGGCTGGGGATTGGGGGGATCCCAGCCCGCCCAGCACTGACCTCTGCCGCCCTGTGCCCAGGAGTCCACCCTGAAGAGCGTGCTCAGCGCCCTGTGGAACCTGTCGGCGCACAGCACGGAGAACAAAGCAGCCATCTGCCAGGTGGATGGTGCGCTCGGCTTCCTGGTGAGCACCCTGACCTACCGCTGCCAGGGCAACTCCCTGGCCGTCATCGAGAGTGGCGGCGGCATCCTACGCAATGTGTCCAGCCTCATTGCCACGCGCGAGGACTACAGGTCAGCCCTGGCCCTGGGAGTGTGGGGGTGGGGAAAGCAGATCCATGCTGCAGATCGTCTTCTAGGGAATGGGTGTCCCCACTGTCCCCAGGAGCCAATTTTCCAGTTTAAGTATATCCCAGATACTGGCGGGGCTATAATTACACGAAAATGCTTCATTTCATTTAAATGAAAAGTTACTACATGCAGCCAGGCATGTACACACGCCTGTCACCCTAGCACTCTGGAAGACTGAGGCAGGAGGACTGAAACTTCCAGCCCAAGGCCGGCATGGTGGTGCTTGCCTGCTGGAGGACCACTGCGAGTTCGAGGCCAGCCTTAGCTACGCAGAGAGCTCAAGGCCAGCCTGAACTACAGAGTGAGACCCTGTCTCAAAAAAAAGAAAAAAAAGTAAGTTCCAGCCCAGCCTGAATTTAGAGAATTTCTCAAAATAAAAAATAAAAAAGGATGAGGATGTAGTTCAGGGGGTAACCCTCACTTCAATCTGAGTAGCACAAAAAACAAAAAAAATCTTAAATAATATTAACAACAAATGTCATTCCTCATTATTTAATAAACAATATTAATAATATACATAACTAAAAACATTTTGTTTTTATAAATAGTAAGTATAGCCTACATACTGTATAGGATATACTTACAGTACATTTTTGATTTGTTAAATTTAAAAAGTTACTTCTTAGGTGCAGTGTCATGTGCCACAATCCCAGCACTTGTGAGTCTGATGCCGTGAATTCAAGGCTAGCCTGGGCTACATACAGAGTTCAAGGCCAGCCTGAACTATAGAGTGAGACCCTGTCTCAAAAAAAAGTTAATAAATAATACCTATGATTTATGAAAGTAAAAATTTACTTTTAGTTATATTACTGTATTCCAAATACTGCACAGGATATATTTATACTAAATTGTTCATTTAACCAGGTGCACCTGTAACCCTAATTAGGAGGCTGAGGCAGGAGGATTGCAAGTTCCAGCCCAGTCGGGGCTACTTAGGTAGTTCCAGACCAGGCTGGACTACACGATGAGATCATATCTCAAAAAAAAAGAAAAAAAAGAAAAAGGTTTATTTAAATGTATAAAAAATTTATGATTAAATCGTATTCATGTCAATAACAAAGTACTTGTTAAATATTAATAACATTCATGAAAATTTAGTGTAGGATTTCTCAAGTATCTCATCAAATATATTTGTACTGAAATTATTTAAGAAAAATATTAAATGCCGATATATATTACTTACAATAAATAAAGTGCGTGTGTGTGTGTTTGTGTGTGGGATTAAACTCTGAGCTCCAAGCTATCTCTTCAGCCCTTTTTATGTGTATATTTATTTTCTGGTTTCTTAGACAGGGTCTTGCTATATAGCTCAGACTGGTCTTTAACTTCACTATGTAGCCCAGGCTGGCCTTGAACTCGTAGCCTCCCAAGTGCTGGGATTACAGGTGTGCACCACCAAGCCTCGCCAAAAGCCTTTATTTTAGCATATCTCATGAGGTGCAGGGCACATACATACTAAAAATAATTCCGTTTCCTAAAATTCAAACTTCACTGGAGGGCTGGGGATGCAACTCAGGGGTAGAGTGCTTTCTAGCATGCGCAAGGCTCTGAGTTCAATCCCCAGGACCACCAAAAAAAAAAAAAAAACACTGGAGACTTTACGTGTTTATTTGCTCTGATCGCCCTCCTCTGGTGGAAGGTCCGGGAACAGCTGGGAGGGGTGTGGCCAGAGGGAGAAGGCGTGGTCAGGGTGGGGCATGACTGGGGAGTGCGGTTTAGGGCTTGGCCAAAACGGTGGGGAGGAGGTGGTTGGTGCATTGGGGGCGTGGCCAGGCCTGACTGCTCCCGCACCGCAGGCAGGTGCTGCGAGACCACAACTGCCTGCAGACCCTGTTGCAGCATTTGACGTCGCACAGCCTGACCATCGTGAGCAACGCCTGTGGCACGCTCTGGAACCTGTCTGCGCGCAGCCCTCGAGACCAGGAGCTGCTGTGGGACTTGGGGGCCGTGGGCATGCTGCGCAACCTGGTGCACTCCAAGCACAAGATGATTGCCATGGGCAGCGCGGCTGCCCTGCGCAACCTGCTGGCCCATCGGCCCACCAAGTACCAGGCGGCAGCCACAGCCATCTCCCCAGGCACCTGTGTGCCCAGCCTGTACGTGCGGAAGCAGCGGGCGCTGGAAGCTGAGCTGGACACCCGGCACTTGGCACAGGCACTGGGCCACCTGGAGAAGCAGGGAATGCCTGAGGCCGAGGCTGAGGCCGCCTCCAAGAAACCACTGCCTCCCTTGCGGCACCTGGATGGATTGGCCCAGGACTATGCTTCTGACTCCGGCTGCTTCGATGATGACGACGCTCCGTCCCTGGCTGCAGCTGCTGCCACCGCAGAGCCTTCCAGTCCCGCTGTGATGTCCTTGTTCCTCGGCAGCCCCTTCCTGCAGGGCCAGGCGCTGGCCCGCACCCATCCCGCCCGCCACAGTGCCCTGGAGGCTGAGAAGGAGTCTGGGGGAGATGCTACTGTGGCGGCCAAAGCCAAAGCCAAGCTGGCGCTGGCGGTGGCTCGCATTGACCGGCTGGTGGAGGACATCTCCGCTCTGCACACCTCCTCTGATGACAGCTTCAGCCTCAGTTCTGGGGACCCTGGGCAGGAGGCTCCCAGGGAGGGCCGTGCCCAGTCCTGCTCACCATGCCGGGGCTCCGAGGGTGCGCGGAGGGAGGGTGGCAGCCAGGCCCATCCGCTGCTGCGTCTCAAAGCTGCACACGCCAGCCTCTCCAACGACAGTCTCAACAGCGGGAGCACCAGCGATGGCTACTGCCCACGGGAGCACATGCAGCCCTGCCCGCTGGCCGTGCTGGCTGAGCACCGTGAGGACCCACTGCGTGGGCAGGTGCGGCCCAGCCAGCTGGACCTTGACCTGCGTGGTGGCCAGGCTGAGCCGCCCGCGCGTGACACTGCAGCTACTGCTGATGCGGGGGTGCGCACCATCAAGCTGTCGCCCACCTACCAGCACGTGCCGCTGCTAGAGGGTGGGGCGGGCGTGGGGGCACGGCCCCTCACGGGGCCCGGGGCTCGGAAGCAGGTGTGGATGCCAGCGGACAACCTCAGCAAGGTGCCTGAGAAGCTGGCAGGTGGCAACCCGTTGCCTGCGGTCAGCAAGGTCTTGCAAAAGCTGGCAGTGCAGGATGGGCCACTGTCCCTCTCTCGCTGCAGCTCTCTGTCCTCACTGTCCTCTGCTGGCCACCCTGGCCCCAGCGAGGGTGGTAACCTGGATGACAGTGACTCTTCCCTGGAGGGGCTGGAGGAGGCCGGCCCTGGGGAGGCAGAGCTGGACGGGGGTTGGCGGGGCTCTGGGTCCACCTCACTGCCAGTGGCCATCCCTGCCCCCCGACGGGGCCGTGGGCGGGGCCTGGGGCTGGAGGATGCCACACCATCCAGCTCTTCAGAGAACTGCGTGCAGGAGACACCACTGGTTCTGAGCCGCTGCAGCTCGGTGAGCTCACTGGGCAGCTTTGAGAGCCCGTCGATTGCCAGCTCCATCCCTAGTGACCCGTGCAGCGGGCTGGGCAGCGGCACTGTCAGCCCCAGCGAGCTGCCCGACAGCCCTGGGCAGACCATGCCACCCAGCCGCAGCAAGACACCACCGGCACCGCAGGGCCAGCCAGAGACCAGCCAGTTCAGCCTGCAGTGGGAGAGCTATGTCAAGCGCTTCCTGGACATTGCCGACTGCCGTGAGCGCTGCCAGCCACCATCCGAACTGGACGCGGGTAGTGTGCGCTTCACCGTGGAGAAGCCGGATGAGAACTTCTCCTGTGCCTCCAGCCTCAGTGCACTGGCTCTGCATGAGCTGTACGTGCAGCAGGATGTAGAACTTCGGCTGCGGCCGCCTGCTTGCCCAGAGCGTGAGGGAGGCGGAGGTGGAGGACACCGCCGGCGGGACGAGGCTGGTGGCCGCCTGGAGGGACCCACACCGTCGGGCTCTCGGAACCGCTCCACCGGTGATCAGGAACTGGAGCTGCTGCGCGAGTGTCTGGGAGCCGCCGTGCCAGCCCGACTCCGCAAAGTGGCCTCAGCGCTGGTGTCAGGCCGCCGGGCCCTGCCGGTACCCGTCTACATGCTGGTGCCCGCCCCAGCCCGGGACGATGACTCTGGCACTGACTCCGCCGAGGGCACACCCGTCAATTTCTCCAGTGCTGCCTCACTCAGTGATGAGACACTGCAGGGACCCCCCAAGGACCAGCCCCGCTCACTGGCAGACAGGCAGAAGCCGATGGGACGCGCAGCTCCATCAAGACAGGCTTCGGGTCCCTGGCCCAAGGCAGGGGGCACTGGCAAGAGCATGGAGCAGACCCGGGGAGCCGGCAGGAGCAGGGCAGGACTAGAATTGCCCCTCGGCCGGCCTCCAAGCGCGCGCTCTGACAGGGAGGGCTCTCGCCTGGGTCGCTCACGTGGGGATGGGGGCCTGCAGTCCCTGTGCCTCACCACCCCGACGGAGGAGGCCGTGTACTGCTTCTATGACTCTGAGGAGGAGCGGCCCCCCACCACCGCACCGCCCCCGAGGCGGCCATCCGCGATTCCTCGGGCTCAGAAGCTGGAACGACCTGTGGGCCGGAAGGAGACCCAGGCCCCGTCCAAGGCTATGCCACCTGCCCGGGCCCAGCCCAGGCTGATCGCAGATGAGACTCCGCCCTGCTATTCCCTGAGCTCCTCAGCCAGCTCCCTCAGCGAGCCCGAGCCCTCTGAGCGGCCAGCCGCCCATACCCGAGGCCGCGAGCCAGTGGTCACCAAGGATCCGGGCCCCAGCAGCGGCCAGGAAAGCTCCCCAAGCCCGCGCACTGAGGAAGAGCTGCTGCGGCGATGCATCGGCTCCGCCATGCCCAGGCGCCGGCCCCAGGCTTTGGGCTCAAAGCGGCGCAAACCCCGAGCTGCCCGGCCAGATCCACGGCCAGCCGCGGAGCCCCGGGAGTGTGCTGAGCACGTAGTGGGCTCCGACCCGGCCTCTGACCTAGACAGCGTAGAGTGGCAGGCCATCCAGGAAGGCGCTAACTCCATTGTCACGTGGCTGCACCAAGCAGCGGCTGCAGCCACCCTGGAGGCCTCGTCTGAGTCAGACTCCCTCCTGTCCTTGGTGTCCGGGCTGTCCACGGGTTCCACGCTGCAGTCATCCAAGCAGAGGAAGGGGCGACAGCCCGGGGCAGGGGCCGAGGCAGGAAATGCTCATCGGTCAGAAAAGCGGGGTCCAGGCCCAGCCAAGAGCAGTGGGAGCCCCCGCTCATCTGGAGGCCCAGAGAAGCCTCGCGGCGCGCAGAAGACTGCATCTAGGGAGCCCGCTGTGCTCCGGGGACGCACGGTGATTTATGTGCCCAATCCTGCCCCGCGGACCCAGCCCAAAGGCACCCTGGGTCCCCGTGCCACACCGAAGAAAATGGGGGCTGCTGTGTCCCCACAGACAGAAGCCCCAGCCAAAACTCCCAGCCCCGGGCAGCAGAGGTCGCGCAGCTTACACCGGCCGGGCAAGACCTCGGAGTTGGCTGCGCTGAGCCATCCCCCTAGGAGCGCCACACCGCCCGCCCGCCTCGCCAAGACGCCGTCCTCGAGCTCCTCCCAGACCTCGCCTGCCTCCCAGCCCCTGCCCAGGAAGTCCCCTCTGGCCACCCCCGCTGCAGGACCCCTCCCTGGCCCCGGACACGCCCCGGTGCCCAAGACGCCCGCTCGGGCCCTTCTGGCCAAGCAGCACAAGACTCAGAAGTCGCCAGTGCGCATCCCGTTCATGCAGAGACCTGCCAGGAGGGGGCCACCGCCACTGGCCAGGGGAGCCCCAGAATCGGCCCCGAGGGGCCGGACCGGACTCGAAGGGGGCCCCGGAGCGCGCGGGAGCCGCCTGGGTCTGGTGCGCGTGGCCTCGGCGCGCTCCAGCGGCAGCGAGTCCTCCGATCGCTCGGGTTTCCGGCGACAACTGACTTTTATCAAAGAGTCCCCAGGCTTGTTGCGTCGCCGGCGCTCCGAGCTGTCCTCCGCGGAGTCTGCAGCCTCCGCCCCCCAGGGTGCCTCTCCACGCCGCGGCCGGCCCGCGCTACCCGCGGTCTTCCTCTGCTCCTCACGCTGCGACGAGCTGCGGGCGTCCCCGCGGCAAACTCCAGCCCCGCAGCGGACCCCGACCACGTTGCGTCCCGGACCCGGCCCCCGCGCGCCCCGGCGCACCAGTTCCGAGAGTCCCTCCCGCTTGCCCGTGCGCGCGCTCGCGCCACGGCCCGAAGCGGTCAAGCGCTACGCGTCGCTGCCGCACATCAGCGTGGCCCGCAGGCCCGAGGGGGCCGCCCCCGCCGCCTCCGACGCCGCCCGCCGCAGCAGCGATGGGGAGGCCAGGCCGCTGCCCAGGGTGGCGGCCCCCAGCACTACTTGGCGGCGCATTCGAGACGAGGACGTCCCGCACATTCTCCGCAGCACGCTGCCCGCTACCGCCCTGCCGCTCCGGGGCGCCTCACCCGACGAAGGCCCGGCCGGGGCTCCGCAGCGCAAGACCAGCGACGCCGTGGTGCAGACAGAGGAGGTGGCCGCGCCCAAGACCAACTCCAGCACCTCCCCGAGCCTGGAGACGAGGGAGCTGCCCCAGGTCCCGGTCGGAGGCCCCGTCCCACTTCTGGGCAGCGACGTCGACGGGCCTGTCCCCGCTAAGGTCCCCGCTGCAGTCCCCTTCGTCCACGAGGGCCTGAGCGTTGCCGTGGGAGGCTTTCCTGCTAGCCGGCACGGGTCCCCCAGCCGCGCTGCGCGCGTTCCGCCCTTCAACTACGTGCCCAGCCCCATGGCGGCGGCAGCAGCGCCCAGCGACTCTGCGGCAGCAGAGAAGGCCCCGGCCCCGGCCCCTGCCAGCCTCTTGGAGTAGCGGGCTAAGTCGGCCCCCCGGTAGCCCCTCTCCAGACCCAATCCGGCTGCCCGGCCAGCCCTTCCGTAGAGGCTGCAGCAGGCCGGGTCCTCTGGCGCCCGCCACGGGTCCCATCAGCCTCATCCCAGGGAGGCCAAGACCTTGCTTCTCCACCTCGGGGCTCGGGGGACAAGGGCCACGGAGCGCCCAGGGTGCCTCGGTCCAGCCCCGTCTCCTCGTAGGGACCACCCCCCAGCTCAGGCAGGGGACAGCCCCAGCTGACCTGGGCACATCCAGGAGGTAGGGGACTCCTCTGGGTCAGCACCTTTCGTACCTGGGCAGCCCCCACAAGAGGTGACAACGCCCACTCGAGGTGAGGCCAGCTGGGGAGTATGGCGCACTGCCTCTGCCAGCTGGGCCCGCCCGCCTAGGCAGGAGGAAGCCTCTAATTATGGCTCCGGTAATTTGTTAATGACGGCCTTGCCGGCTTTGTTTCTCTTCTCAGCTCCAGCTGGAGGAGCGTGGGATGAGGGGTGGGGCTGAGCCCCGCAGAAAGACAGGCTCTTCGGGGAGCCCCCAGCCAGTGTTGCTCTCTCCAGGAAGGTTGGGGTCCCCCACATTAGCTGGCCCTCCCTACCCCATAGGAGAAGACTGGGGGGGCAGGCAGAGATCTGGGGTAAGAAGAGCAGCCTGATGTGGACGCCGGGGGCTGGCCACACCGAGTCCCTGCCGGTGACCAGTGTCAGGGACCTTTTCCATCTTAGAGGGGGCGCCCGCACCACCTGAGTGGGCCCAGGGAGGGAGGCGGGGGCTCAGGGCCAGGGGGCATGGTCCAACCCACTGTTGTGGGTGAAGCCATGGCGAAGGGGGAGCCAGGTGTGGTGGTGCACACCTGTAATCCCAGCACTTGGGAGGCTGAGGCAGGAGGACTACCACCAGTCTAAGGCCAGCCTGGGCTACATAGTAAGTTCAAACCTAGCCTGAGCTACACAAAGAAAGCCTGTCTCAAAAAAAAAAATGGTGGGGGTACAAAGCCCTTGCAGGGAGCCTCGCAGGGCCCTGGAAGGCCAGGGCCAGTATTACAGGGAGGAGGCTGGTTTCTGGATCGTTCCCACCAATGGCTGCTGCCACTGCTGGTCTTCTTCCTTCCAATAACCTGAACCATAACCATAACCCTCCCTAAAGTCACGGGAGGACTTGGGGTGTGAGCCCTGGCCAGCAGAGACCCAGGATGGAGGTGGAGTGTTGTGCCAGGTGAGGTGGCAGGAGATAGAAAGGGCATGGGGGGGCACTAAGGTGCCTGGGGTGGTCCTTAGCCACTGGCCTGGAGGCTGGAGCTGGGCCTCAGGGGCCCTGGGCACGAGGTCTCTTCCCATGGGGTATGGGACAGGGCCTCCGCATAGGGACAGGGTTGCGTGTCCCACAGCTCTGAGGATCTTCCCGCAGAGAGAGCCAGCGACCTCCTCCCTGTGGGACTGCTCTAGCAGACCATCTGCTACCACACAGCAGCTCTTAAGTTCCTCCTTGGGACCCCAGCTCTGTCCAGGCCCTAGCAGGCTGAGGTCAAAGAGCCGCAGGACCCATGGTGAGGGAGACCCCAGCCTAGAGATAGGTGCTGCTCTGTCCTGCAAATTCCACTGTGGCTCCCCTGGAACACATATCCTGCAGACTGACAGGGAGGGGGACCGCATCCCCAAGGGACAGTGCTGGAGGCCCCAACCAATCACTCCCAGGCCTCTCCTTGTGCCATGAGGCTGCTGGGAGCTTTGGGGGGCAGAGCTGGCTTGGGGCAACTGGCAAGGAGTGAAAGAGGACCCGGCTCTACAGACCAGCTGTCTCAGAAGTCCCAACCGCGACTGTGGCCTGAAGACTCAGCAGCTGGATGCTTGCTTGTTCACACGCTGCACCCTGAAGGGGCCTGCCAGCTGCAGGGCCCAGGGCCAGTGTGACCCTCCCTACCATGCACTGTGAGACCCTGGGCAGTACTCTCGCTGCCCTGTGCCTCAGTCTCCCCATGTGGGCCGTGGGGAGAACTCCCAGAGCTACCTCTTGGGCGAGTGGAGTGTTGTGATGGATGGGACTGTCGCTCTGCTGGCCACGTCCAGCAGCCGCTTCTGCCTCCACCACCCTCTGCGGCAGGCGGACAGCCAGTCTGCCATCTGGCTCAGGCGGGATTCAGGGCTGGAGCCAGCGAGGGAGAGTGGGTTCCGGGAGGGTGGCTCGCTGTGTAGACGGTCAACCCAAGGCTGCGCCAGAGGGCACCACGGTGACGTCCCCGCCAACCTCCAGAGCCAGCCCAGGGGGACCAAGGACCTGAGGCCGTGGGCCAGGAAGGACACAGTGGGCCACCCCAAGATGGAAACCTGAGCCTCAGGCTGATGGCCGTGACCACTGCCCACCCCCAATGCCACCCCCGCCTGGGTGCTGACTCGGGGCAAAGCGCCCGCCCGTTACCTCATCTCCCACCCGGCTGTCACGCTGGCTGCGGCCCCCTTGCCTGACTCCTGCCTGATCTGTCCGCTCTTCCAGCCACCGACCCCTCGTCCGTTCAGGTCTCCTCAGTGTTAACTGGATGTGTAAATAGTTGCGGCCTGCGCACCCACCCCACTCATGTAAAGCATCTGTGCGGCCGAAGGACAATGCCCAGCAGGCACCTGGCTTCTTGTGCACCTTTAATAAAACGAGCTGTCGAATCACCTCCAGCTCCTGATTTCAAGACAGGGTGAGGATGGGGAAGCCAGGGTGCCCAAGATGGCCTGTGGCTCATGTGGGACAGGACGGGAGGGCCTGCCAGCCACAGCAGCCATCTGTCAGGAGGGTACCAGGGGCCACTAGGTCCCATGCCAGCCCATTTACTGAGATCAAAACCAACACACATGCTGGGGTGGCTACGTGTGAGGGTCACTTCCAGGGGGCACAGCCTGGCCCAGGGGACAGAAGCAGTGTGAGGCAGTAAGGGGCTCACAGGGGTCAGCTCCCCAGATGCCCGCACCCAGCTGGCCTGGCAGCAGAGTTCTGGGGTGGGTAACAGGGGCAAGCCCTTGAAGCTTTAGGCTGGGTCCCCTAGGATCCAGCTTCTAGTTTAAGGGGGTTCTCGCAGGTTTAAACAGCACCTCCATTTCGGGGAAAGAGAAACATCTATTTTTAAAATTTGTTTTGAGACAGAGTCTTGAGATCCTCCTGCATCAGCCTCCCGAGTGCTGGGATGACAGGTGTGTGCTGTTACACCTGGCTGAGGAACATCTTTGATGTTCCAGAAACAAAGCCTGGTCTCCTGGAAGCTAAGTCTGGACAGCAAAGGACAGCAGTCCCTGGGCTTGGGGCTCTAGATGTGGACGTCAATGTCTCTGCTCCTGGCAGAACCAAGCTGGGCTTGCATCACCCTGCTGGCCTGGCACTCATCATCCTGACAGCTGCGGCCTGGATTTGATTTGTTTAGGCAAAAAGCCCTTTTCTGGAGCCTCCAGCCAGCCCGCAGCTGCCTGCAGCAAAGGTGGGGCCAGAGCCGTGCGGCAGCAGCGTGGCCTGAAGACTCCAGCTCATCCCTTCACCGAGGTGATAGCAAGCAAGCGGAGGCCAGGGTGGGGTCTCCGTTGAGGCCAGTAGGGTCGTGAGGGCAGCAGCCCAGGGCTGTTGTAATGACCAAGCTGGCTCATGGCGGGATCCAAATGGGAAGGAGGACCAGAGTCTTAGGTCATCTTGAGTCACACAGTCAACAGGGGCTGCTACACCCCATCCTCCAGCCAGGCCTGGGGCTCAAGGGGCAGAGGGCTGTGCACGCCTTAGGTCAGGTGCCCCTTACCCTGAGCAGTGGGCTGGGAGGCGAGGAGGCGGTGCCAAGGCAGAGTCCCGCTAAGATCAGAGCTGTCGTGGGCAGAGGAGGGGACGGACCACTCAGGGCAGCTATGCCCACACTGCACCTCCCGGCCCTGTGCTGGGCCTTGCTGGGTGGCTCCTGCTGCCCAGTGTCACAGGAGGACATGACGACCCAGAGCTTCGAGGGTGAGAGACGAGTGGGGTGCCACCCTGGGCACACGCCTCCCAACAGCAGGCCAGGGGGGCAGCGTGGGTGCCGCCCCAGACCCACAGGCGCAGTTAGCCTGAGGCGGCCGAGGTCACCGGCAGCGCAGCCTGTGTCACCTGGACGACGTCCTGCTCCAGCTCCTCACCAATGTGACGCAGGTCCTCGCACTTCTGCCGCAGCTGGGCCCCCGCCTGCCGCAGCTGCTCATTGGCGGTCACATAGGCCTGGCCCTGCTGGTAGAGCCGCTCCCACCGGGCCTCAGGGTCTTCGGTGTTCCTGGCGGGGGCCGGGGACTCTAGGGACAGAACACAGTCGTGTGTGAGCCCCACACAACGGCCAGCACTTGGGGAGTTGGAGCTGGCCACGGGAGAAGGTGTGGAACTCTGCTTCCTGGTGACCCAACACATGCAGAAAACCCTGCTCCTGAGAAAGCACAGGGCCAAAGTCACAGGACTGAAAAAGTGCAAGGTTTGGGGTTCCAAAGAGACACTTCATGGTCCCCGCTGGACAGCCCCACATCCAGTGCAGCCTGGGGTGCACTAGTGCTCAGTTAAAAATCGCCTGTCAGCACCTTCTTCAGGAAGGGCGCTCAGGACCCATGAGAGATGCACCACCCGCCTGGCACCGGCCACGGTGCTGCTGGCCTTGCCCACACCCCTAAAGCCACCCTCGGTGGGGGTCCCGCCACAGTTCTCAAACTGGGGCTCAGGCACCCTGGGTCAACCAGCTCAGAGTCTACACGTATGGAGTCTTGCTGCTGCACAGAACTTTCTGGGAGATGGGAACATCCACTTGTGTGGTCCCACATGTCACACACACCAGCCACCAGCAGTTCTATGTGTACGTGTGTGTGTGTGTGTGTGTGCACGTGCGTGCATACGTATGAGCTTTCACACTCAGCTACATCCCCAGCCCTTTTTAAATTTTGGGATGGGGTCTCACTAAGTCACTAAGTTACCCACATTGGGCTCCAACTTGTGATCCTCCTGCCTCTGCCTCCTAAGTACAGTAGCTGGGATGACATTTGGTCTGTGCCAACGCTCCTACTTCTGTCTTCTACACCAGCAGTCCACAGACTTTTCTGCCAAAGAGCAATCTGTCCCTACCACTCAACTATGCCGTTACAGTGACAGCAGCTGCTGGCCTGCTCCTTAACAAACCAGTCATGGGCCCATACTTTTATTTTTCCATACTTTTATTGACGAACGTTGAAATCCAGACTTTGTGTTTTCATGTGTCACACAATATTCTCATTCCCACTGAAAATGTAAAAACTGGGGCTGGGGCACTACAAATACAAGCGTAGCCTGTGATAGCGCATGCCTGTAATTCCAGCACTTGGGAGGCTGAGGCTTGAACTCTCTGTGAGTTCAGGGCCAGCCTGGATTACACAGTGAGTTTAAGGCAAGCCTGAGCTATAAAGACCCTATCTCCAAAAAATCTTTAAAAACTAACAAAACAAGCTCAGACCCAGTGTCCTAGTGTACATCTGTAATCCCAGCAGTTGGGAGGCTAGGAGGATCACTAGTTCGAGGCCAGCCTGGGCTACATAGTGAGATCCTATCTCAAAAAACTCAACTAACCAACTAACCAACCAAACAAACAAAGCCCCCAAGGTTCAGGCTGGGCATGGCTGCAGACTATAACGCTGAACCCATTTTAGAGGTCTCCTAAAATGGCACCACTTTACAGATGAGAAGAGAGGTTCAGAATGGATAAAGATCCTGCTCAAGCCCCTGACTCAAATCTATATTTCCAGTTTCATGGTTTCCCCGGCCCTGCGCTCTGGTGCTGGAGCTGGGATGAGCGTCCCCTGTGCTACCTTCCAGGGCCAATGCGGTGAAGACTGGGTCATGGATCGGTGCCCCCCGCACGTCCTCCAAGATTTGCTCCACCGTGGGGGGCGCGGGGCGGGTGGGCAGCACCACGCGCTTCTTGGCCTTGGAGCCCATCCCTAGGGACAGAGGAAGCAAGCGTTAACAGGGCGTCCACCTTTCAGTCTCTGCCGGGGCCGAGCTCCTGCCCGAACTCGTACACACCTGCCGCGGCCCGCTCCCAGGGGAGACCGCCCTGCCGCCCCGCGGAGCGCTCCTCTGTGCTCGCTGGTGGCCTTCCCTTCGTCCAACAGAAGGCCTGCGGCTTCAGAGTCCGGCTAGACGTCGGCCTCAGTTGCCCGTGAACACCTCTGCAGCTGATCGCCCCCTATCTGGCCGCGTACCTACAGCTACCAGCAGCGCCGCCACTTCCGCTTCCGGCGAGAGAACCGGGACACGCGCCGGCGCTTTCCGGTCTTCTCCAGTGCTCCTTGGCGGCTCTCCGCGAGGTTCCGCCCCTTCTTAAAGAGGCCGCACTGGACCAGAGGGATCTCAGCCTTTCACCCGTTACACTCCTTCCCGTCCTCGGCCAGCAGAATTGGAAGCACAAGGGGTGCGCGTGAGCTCGCGTTCAAGTCCCTCTGGATGAGTAGCAAAGCATGTGAGGCTTGGGTTTTCGCAAAAGGACAGCAAGGCGCCAACCCCCATGGCGGTATGGGACAGCATCACTGCCTGTCCCTGCTGCGCCTAATGGGTGTTCAGTAAATGCCAGATGCTCTGATCGCCCACGAGGTGGCCAGGGACACAGGTGCATGTCACAGCTTGCCTGCCAGACCTGGCTGAAGCTCCCACGTTTCCAAAACACCTCCCCATCTGGAGTGGGCAGCGGAGGGTCCCTTCCCTCCTCCCCTCCCTGAGGTCATCCTGCCGCCTCCTTCCTGGCTGGGATTGAGAAGAGCAAGGTGCTTTGTTTCCATTTAAAGTAGTTCTGTGCTTTGTATTTGCTTGGGTCAAGCGATGTGCAAGGGTCACTACTACCTAGTTCCGGACGTTCAAAAAACAAGCAGTGCGCGGGGGAGGGGCTGAGAGGGCAGCAGTTCCAGAGTTGGACACGGAATCAGCAGCATGTGATCCCTCACAGTCGCCCCAAATCCTGGGCTCTCCGGACTGCAGCTGATTCTTCCTCTGTGGCCCTCCGGGCCCTCTAGGGCCTGACGTCATCCCTACAGACGCCTTGCCGTGCAGCCCCGCACCTGCCCTGCCCCAAAGGAAACAACAGGCTTGGCGTCTTCTTTTCAACCTTTATTTGCAAACTCTGAGGTTGGACATGGAGCCCAGAACTGGACAGACTCTGGGGCAGGAAAGGGATGCGGGTCACTATGCAGCCTCTGTCCGTCCCACCCCCAGCTGACCCCCAAATGTGGAGGAGACCTTCTCTCCTTTGCAGCTGGGGGTCCAGACTCTGAGTTCCCCTCAGCTGCTGGGGCCTTCAGGGCAGGTCCCAGTCGGAGTCGGATCGGAGCAGCAGTGTCACTCCACCCTGGGCCCGGGTTGAGGCGGCCTTCGGTCCTGCAGGTCTCCAGGTTCCAGCGCACAGCCGGTCCTGGGTGGAGGCCTGCACGGAGCCAGTGGGAAGCGGCTCCCCAGAACCACAGCAGGCAGGCCCAGCACCTTGGCCAGGGCTGGCAGCAGCGGCGGGTAGGGGGAGAGGGCTGGAGGTGGCCGTAGGGGCCCTAGGCAGGAGCCCTGGAGTTCACCCAGCGTGCAGCGTGGGGGGCAAAGGCAGGTGCTGCCTGGGCACACAGAGCAGCGGGCAGCTGGGGTATTCATGGTGGGGGTAGCCAGGCCTCGTGATCACCGCCTGCCGGGTATGGCCTGAGTGCCCCCATCCACAGCAGGAGAGGCAGAATTACCCCAGGATGCAGGTGAGGTTGTCACATTCTGCACAGGGTCATGAAATGTGGAAAGAGAGAATGAGGCTGAGGCTCCACCCCAGGCCCTGCCCACTGCCAACCCTCCCGGGGCCACACACACACACTGCCAGCCCTGCCACCACGCTGCCACTCACCCTGGCACAGCCCCTCTGCGTCCCGCTGCACACGCGCACTGCCGGTCACCTGGGGGCTTGGGGCCCGGGCCGTCATATCCTCTGCTGTCCCGTAGAGCAGCAGCGTGCAGCGGTGCAGCATCCCTGGGCCAGGGTCACGGTGGGCACAGGGAGAGGGAGAGGCTGTTGGCAGCTGGGTCGCACCAGGACCTGGGCCCTTTTACTGGGGCCTCTCACCAGAGCCCCGGGTCTCATGGTCCCGTGCCACCAACCACCTACTGTTGCCAGCAGCCAGACTCCCGCCCGCCCCTGACACCCACACGCCTACTGTGTTGGCCACATGGTTAACCTACTGTGTGCCAACCATGCCTGCTGGCACATTCTCCTCCCAGGCCTCTGGGGCCCCCTGGCCAAGGGTAACAGAGGAGCCCCCCAGCCGGGCCCAGTCCTCACCTGTGTTGAAATAGAATCCCTTGTTCCATAGGCCCAGGGCCCACAGGCCCTGTGGGTTCTCATCCCAGAAGTGGGTGGACATGAATGTCCAGTCATGGTAGCCCTGGCTGCTGTTGTCCAGAGGTCTGGGGAGCAGGAGAGAGGGAGGAGGGGCCTCATAAGCAGGCCGGGCTGGGAAGGCCTGCAGAGCTGCAGGGTGCGTTTATCCGTGCTGTCCTGGGCAGTCTCTGCACAGGCCACGCACCTGATGTCCACCAGTGTGGAGTGGGTGCCCATGGGGCTGGTGAGTGAGATCTCCAGGTCCCCGCGCCGGCTGTAGGACAGAGACAGCTGCACCTGGACATGCTCCAGTGAGCGGATGTAGTCCTGGCTGCCGGTGCAGGCCGACACATTCCTCTTCACGAGCATCCGCGACAGGATGGGGCTGGGGACGGTGAGGACCCTCCTGTCGGCTGGCCGGATCTGGGTTCACCGGTTATGCGGCCCACCCTCTCTTGACAGACTGGGAAACTTAGGCCAGAGGCCTGCCTTCCCTGCTGACCCCGCCCCTGGGAGTAATGATGGGTGTCGGGGAGCCCCCTTACAGCGGGGCCAGCACGACCTCCAAGGCGCACTTCCTCTGGGGCTGTGTGGGCCGCCAGGTGCGGGCCAGGTCCACCAGCAGCGCAGCGTCCAGCAACCCGTAGCCGTAGTGGTGGCTCACTGCGCGGAGGGGTGGCTGTCACAGGCCCCGCAGACCCGCTTCCCCCGACCCCTACCCGGCCCCTCCGCACCTTGGCGCCCCACACCGTTGGTCTTCCAGTCCTCAGCCTGCAAGTGCGCTGGCTTGGAGGCGCGGACCACGAGGTGCTGCGTGTCCCTCCAGGTCAGGAGTGGGCTGGGGGCAGTGCAGGGCAGCCATGAGCCCCAGCCCGACAGGGGTATGGCCCGAGGGTGAGGCCAGGGTCCCCAGCAGCACCTACTTGGCTTCCAGGGCCAGGGCGATCATGCCTGCGGCCAGTGGTGCGGAGGCTGAGGTCCCCGTGTGCTTGTCCGTGCACTGGTGGTGTAGATCTGTGCTGACCTGGGACAGAGTGTGGGGCTGGGGTCTGGTACAGTGAAACTCAGCCCTTATTCAGCAAGTTCCATGCACCATCCTTGAAAAGCACTATGGATCCAGTTCAAAAAGTACTCAGGGGCCAGGTGCAGGGGCACATATTAATCCCAGCACTCAGGAGGCTGAGGTAGAAGGATCGCTGCAAGTTCCAGGCCAGCCTGGGCTACATAATGAGTTCAAGGCCAGCCTGAACTACACAGTGAGACCTTATCTCAAAAAAAACAAAAATAAAGTAAAAGGACTAAGGACTAACTCAAAAAGTACTACAGACTGAGTTCAAGCAGTATACTAAAGACTAAGTTCAAAAAAGTACTGCACACTGAGTTCAAAAAGTAGTATGGAAGCTGTGTGTGGTGGACACGCCTGTCATCCCAGCACATGGAAGGCTGAGGCAGGAGGATCACCATGAGTTTGAGGCCAGCCTAGAGTACATAGTGAGTTCAAGACCAGCCTGTACTACACAGAGAGACCCTGTCTCAAAACAAAACACAAACAAACAAAAACTATTAAGGGATGAATTCAAACAGTATACCAAGGACTAAACTGAAAGTTTACCAAGGACTGAATTTAAAAAGTCCCAGGAGGGGTCAGGGATTTAGCTGAGTGGTGCAGCGCCTGCCTGGCAAATGTGGGGTCCTCAGTTCGATTCCCAGTACCCCCCCCCAAAAAAGTCCAAGGACTAAGTTTAAAAAATACAATGGTGCCTCAGTTCATGAACTTAATTCTTTCCATGATACTGGCCATAAACAACTGTATGAGAAAAGAATCAAATTCAATGGTTAGGTTCATTGTTGACCTTATGTGGAAATTTGGTTTCATTCTTGTCCAGGGCCGGGGATATAGCTCAGCAGCACAGTGCCTGCCTGGCAAGCACAAGGTTGTGAGTTCGATTCCCGGTACTAGGGTGGGGGGATTCTTGTCCAATTCAGTTTGTGACCAGAATCACAGAAAGAATTAAGTTCATGAACAGAGGTGCCACTGTACTACAAACTGAGTTCGATAAGTACCAAAGACTAAGCTCAGAAAGTACTATAAGCTGGTCGTGGTGGTGCATCCTTGTAATCCCAGTATTCTGGAAGGCTGAGGCAGGAGGATCCCAAGTTTGAGCCCAACCTGGGAATTTAGCAATTTAGAGAGACTCTGTCTTAAGATTAAATTTAAAAAGTGTGTGTGTGTGTGTGTGTGTGTGTGTGTGAGTAGGCCCTGGGTTCCATCCCCAGTACCAAACAAAAGTGGCTTTGGGCAGGGTGGGCAGGCGCCATGTGGGCAGAGGCAGGCAGCTGTAGCATGCGGCACTCACAATCTGAGGGTCGGTGGCCAAACCGCTGCTGAAGGTAGTGGTGAGGATGGAGGCGCAGGCCTCGCTGTACCAAGGCACACGGCCCTGCCAGGTGGCGCTGCCCACCGAGAGCGTGTGGATGCTGTTCGTGTAGCCGTCGCAGTTGCAGTTGTCGTAGTGCAGGCCGCCATTGCCTGAGGCCCAGACGAAAAGCGTGCCCAGTCCGCCGCGGCCCTGGGGCAAGGAGGCCAGGGAGGGGGTGTCACGCCAGCTGGTGCCCAGCCTGGCTGCGCAGTGCCACCCTGTGGCCCCATGGGTGCTCACGTAGGTCACGCCGCGCCGGAAGGCCTCGTGGGTGAGGATGCCCGGGCCGTCCACGGTGCGGCCGTCGTCTGAGGGGCCCCAGCTGGCGCTGTAGATGTGAATGTGCTGGGGCTGCAGGCTCAGCGACTGGGCCTCGATCACGTCCGTGATGGTGCCGTCCAGCATGCGCACACCTGCGTGGCAGGCGTCGGCCTCCCTCGGGCACCAACCCGCGCGGCCCTGTCTCCCGGGGCCTTGTCTGGGATCCTGGCACTGCCCAGCAAGGAGGGGGCAGACACCAGAGCCTTCCTCCCCTCACGTGCCCCCATCTTCCAGCTGCCGCAGCGGCACCCTCCACCCTCTGCCCCCAAGCTGTACCCCCGAGGGACCCTGGTACCTCCGATTCGGGCGTTGAAGGCAACTCCTGCACCACAGAAGCCGTTGTTGGCCATGGCTGCCACCTCCCCAGCACAGCGAGTCCCATGCCTGGTCCAGGGCCGAGGGGGGCACCTGTCACAGCCCGCCTGGTCCCCATGGGGCACTGGGACCCCCTCACACACCACGGGCTGGGGCTCACCGGTTCTCGTTGCTGGGTGTGTAGCGAGGCTGGGGATCCGGGTCATAGTCGTTGAAGTCATAGCTGGCCAGGGGGTCCTGGGGGACGGTGGGGGCGGGAGCCGGGTGTGAGGCGTCCCCAGGTAGGGGACTCGGTACAGCCCCTACCCGGCTGCCTGAGGTCTCACGTAATTGGCCCAGAGGTCTGGGTGGTCCTTCTCGATGCCGTCATCTAGGATGGAGATCACGACGCCCCGGCCCGTCAGGCCCTGGCCCCAGGACTGCAGGATGTTCAGGTCTGGCTGCATCTCATTGTTCTGCACCAAGCCGGGGGCCAGGGTCAGGGGGGTGGTGGCGGCACCGTGTTTGCCTGCCCCGGCCCGGCTGCTCACCATGTACCACTGCTTGGGGAACCAGGGATCCGTGGGTACCTCCAGGGATCGCTTTGCCCGCCGGCGCATCGTCTGCTGCTCAAACCACCGCACCTGAGAGGGACACGTGGCTGGACTGTCCCTCAGGTAGGGGAGGGGAGGCTGGAGGGTCCCTTGTGTGGGGACCCTGTGTTTGCTGTGGCTTTTTTTTTTTTTTTTTTTTTTGAGACTGCATCTTGCCATGTAGTTCAGGCTGGACTTGAACTCACTATGTAGCCTAGGCTGTCCTCAAACTTTCAGCCATCCTCCTGCCTCAGCCTCCCAAGTGCTGGGATTACAGGTGTGCGTCACTATGCTCAGCATGAAGGTGCTCTTTAGGGTCTCCCCTTGTCTGGGGCTCTGTCTGTGGTTGCAGGGGCCCTAGGGGTGCAGGGCACCCACCTCAGGCCCACAGACACATGGAGAGAGGCAGGGATGACGGGTTTCTCTGTCCCACCACTGCCCTTCCTTCCTCCCTGCTCTAAATCCTTCTGTCCAACCCTGCCAGCTCCCTCCTGCATCAGCTCAAGAGCAGCCACTTCTTCCTCTACCCCAGCTAAGACACCTCTCCATGGTCATGCCCACCTCCTCCCTGGCTTTCCAGTCCCCTGATGAAAACACACAAGACCCTGAATGTCCAGCTCCCACCAGCCCCTCCCTCTTGGTCACTTAACTACAGCTGGTGACCACCTTGAGGTTTCAAAGGCATGTGAATTCTTCTCAACCCCAGGACCTTTGCACATGCTGTTCTTCCAGCCTGGACTGTCTTCCTTGGGCATCTGTCCTGCTTCCTCCTTACCACCTTTCTCTCCCATCCCCAAACCAGCTCATATTCTCTGCCCCATCTCAGGGATCCTGGCAGTTTCCTGGGTGCCAAGCCAGCCCTGATACCCATCTCTCTGTCCTCCACATCTGATCTGTCCTACAAACCCTGAACCAGCCACCTTTCTCGGTCCCCAGCTCTGAGCATCTAGAGCCTGGGTTCTCGTCCCAGATTAGCTAGACTCACTGGGCAGCTTCACGAATCTTCTCCTGAGGGACCGTTTTCCTGCAGGGTGAAATGGGCCAGTGCCGCTCCTGCACCCTATGAGCTGGAGAGGGTGGGGGAGTGGTGTCCCTGTCCCTCCTGACCACGGTGTCTAGGGCCTTCACGTTTCCTCACATAGTGTGAGGTTCCACTGTGGGCACCCCTCTGGGGACCAGCTGGAAACCAAATCTCAAAGACAGACCATTTATGGCAGTCACAAGAATAACAGAAGGCCCCAGGCTGGCCCCTGGCACCTGCCCACCAGGGGCAGCCTCCCGGGCAGGCTCACCTTCGGGTCTTTCTTCAGACGCAAGCGGTGGCCCCAGTGCGGACTCAGAGACTGCTGGGATATACCCCGGTGCCGCAGGTGGAAGTACTGCCCTTCGGGGAAGATCTGGGAAGATGAGGGGCTGTCGTATCGCGGGGACCCGCTCCCCGATGGTGTAGCCCCACCCTCGGGCTGGGACCGGTGCCCTCTTGCTTGGAGCCTCCTCTGACTAGGTTCCCAGGTGGGGGTTTCAGGTCCACCCCAGGAGTCCGAGGACCTCAGGCCCTTAGCAGTGAGCTACATCCCCAGGGCGCTTTTATTTATTTATTTATTTATTTAT